CACGGGTAATTTTTAACACAGCACAGAGCACTCAGAGATTCTTCGCCTTTGCAAAAATCAATTGCAATGTATTTTGGTTTATCGGCAACCGGCCAGAACACGTGTTGTACGCAATTTCGCAATCGGAGGCACGTCGCNTCGAAATAATTGACGGATAAAGTCAGGCGGATTGTTCATTCAAAATTAAAACTATTCCATTTTCAAATTAAGAAGTATTAACTATCTGACGCGAATCATCAAACGGATAACCCGTCTCACACGAATAATCCGTCTCTAGTGTGAAAACGGCCATAGGTTATAATGAATGTCGCGCCTCGGCCTTGAGTTGGGCGTTCGCGTGTTCGCTTTTGCTTTCTCACAAAGATTATTTTTAATTTGAGTATTGACATTTCTATGTGTAAAATAATATTAGAAGTGAAATACTTTATAAAAAGTATGATCTATCAAATCTTAAAATTTTTCAAAAGAATAGCTTGTCTCATCCCGAGATGATCCTAAGACCTTTATTTTGATTTAAAGATGCAAAAAAGACAGGTTAATCAATATTTAACTTTTTGAAACAAAAGAAGTTAATTTTTAACTTTTCTGTTAACCGTAACTGAAAAAAATTAACCGATAGCCGTAAAAGAGCCAAAATTTTAGCCGATAACCGTAAAAGCCACCACCCCATTGAGACCCTCACAAAGTGGCAACAGTGATAACAAAATAGTCCAAACACTGTTAAGCTTATTAAAAACCTATAACCAAGGAAGGAAATACGCGCTCCAGTCAAAAGACTCACATTTTCTTTGGAAAAACACTAAGCTGGAATCTACTGAGTCACAATGCATTTCCCATAGTTGTTGCAGCTTCATTTTAAGCTGCACTTCATTCTTATCCCTTTGGATCTGTAAAACACTATCCGTGATGATTTAACATCCTGCAAAGAAAACTAACGAGCTGGGCCCAGCGTGATACAGCATTGTATATTCAGGGACTAAAAACAGTCACATAGTTATTCCGGTCCAGAAGACACTTTGGAGAAAATTAGAGCCCTTACTCGGCCGTAATAAGAAGCTTTAAAGAATATGCTCTCGCATCAGAGGGCAAATCCTGCCCACAAACAGCAGTAAATCGATATGTGCCATGACCTCTCAATGTGAAATAGGCGGCTTAACCAGAACCTTCTGGAGCATAATCTACCCAGCAGAAGGCGAAAAACCGTTTTTCGAACAAGCAGCATTTTAGCATAAGGTAAAAGTGGTGTAGGCCTATCACCACCTTTCATTGTTACGGAAGTTGGAAGTCGGAAATCATAAGTCGGAAGTTGGAAGTCGGAAGTCGTAAATCAGAAGACCCTCCTCGGCTTTCGTAAAAGATCAGCTGAAATAATGAGATTTGAAATAGCTGGAAACGTATTGACGGTTGATAAAATCTACATTTTCCAAGATTTACGTTTTACGACGGCTGACGGTTTAATTTTACACCGTTTGACGGCTAACGGTTAACCCGATTGAGACTCTTGCGTGTAGCTGGGTTGCAGTGCGGTAATGCAATCATGATTGCATTTTAGACTTTCAATGACAAAGTATTTATTACAAATTTACAACTATCCCCACTCGTGTTACGAGGAAACGGTACGTTTTATTAAGGAGTGTCGTTGCGCAATTCAGCAACTAATCATTATGCAAAGCGAGTAAGTAAATCCCAGTCTATCTGTCTATCCCAAGTCTAAAGTTGGTGTGTTTAAATTCTCATCTTTGGCTTTAATCAACTACACAATGCATGCAGCCGTCCGATTTGAGTCTTCCCCCAGGTAACCCTTCCCCCACCGATAAGAACAGACCACTGCGGGTGACGTCAACATTGCGTGACGACTGTGTGGGCAAGCGTTTAAACTGTCAACCCTCTTGTTGATGTCAATCCACGAAAAGAGATTTCAACGTTGTCGAATTTGACTATACTGATCTGTTAAGCGAATGGAGGTAGTGCTCTGCTCTCTGTGTCAGGGGCCTGTTTCCTCGGATTGGTTGAGATTTGCCGTGATTTCTAACGCTTTGTTTTTGATGTGAACTGGTACGGTCCGGTACGCGTACAAGATCTTTAGTGAATTTAGAATTTACACTGGCAGACAAAGAAGAAGATAATTTGATCAGAGAAATTCCACAAAGCTTCAGGTAATTTTACATTGATTTCCTAAGTCGCTGACAGTTTTGTAAGAATTTGTTACATTCATTTGTTCAATTCTCTTTTACTTTCAGCAGGTAAAAAATGGCAGCAGTTCCAATAAGCGCAGCATATGTACAAGGGCTCCGAAATGCAAGAGACCACAATAAAAGCTATGTAAACATTGAAACGGAAAGTAATGAAAAGGTAAAAGAGTCAAAAGAACAGCAAAGATTGCCAACATTTGGGGCATTTATAAGCAAGATTTCTGCTTCGTGTCAAGAACAAGCATTGCGGATCTACATTGAAAAACAAGACCCTTCTCGGTCTTGATCGAACGTCAAGAACTCAAACAAAGTACAAACGGAGCTTGCTTCATTAATTATTTTCTAAATATATCTCAGTGCTTTAGGATGTGGTGGCGTACATGTATGGAGTATTTTGCTACCGTTTCAATCGCATTTTGCGAAAGAAAAAAGCGAATTCATGACAATGTGGACAGGTTTGTCGAGGAGTATAGTTGTTGCATTAGCATAAATTTCGTCAGTACCTATGAACACGGACGTGACAACAAGCATGTGCGTTGTATTTTAAAGTTGACACAAATTTTCAGACAGAAGTTTTATAATCTGAATTCACGCACGCAATTTCTTTTGAATGGGGCTCAGTCAAGCAATACCAGGATCTTTGTCTATTTCCACGGTTTATATAAACAATTAGTCAGCTCTCGTCAGCATATCACGCAACTCGTACAAACTGGCCTTGCTACACTATTTCTTCAAGCGTTTTGAAGTCTCGAAGCGACACATTTTTTACTTGTCTTATTGTTATCTTTGCGAGAAGGCAAAAAATGAAACAGAAACGTAGGTATTCGAATTTTAACAGTATTTCGTGTCTGCCGTGACATAAACCGCAAATATGCATAAAAGTACATGATTTTAGCGTACGTGATCTGAAAAACCTACGAACATGCAATTTTGCATGTATACCTCCTGGAGGACTCCCAGAAAAAAGGACGGGTCTGAAAATAAGCACTATACCTCGATTAAAAGGAGAAATGGGGAACATCCCACTAGAAAGTGACTAGACGAGCGGCGTTGGGTTGTATGTTGTAGTTAATTTTTTTCCTCAGGTAATATTTATTTTTCCTTTGTTTCAACTTCGTGAGCACACATTATCATTCCCAAGAACAAAAGAAAAACAAAAATTACCTGAGATAAAAAATTAACCACAACATATACACAACCAGAACCGATATGGTTAGATTTGGGCAACATCCCAAAGTGAAACCAAAAATTTAGTGCCATTAGCACCTCTAAGCGAAACAATGGGCATTTTATGTGGGAGTCCCACTTTAAATATACACTTCAATTCTGTTTTCTGTTTCTTCACACAACACAGTCAGAATTACTATGTAAAGATTTAAATGGAAGCTGATATAATTAAATGTTCATATTTTGTTTGCAATTTTGCTTTTTCAATATCAAGAAAAACTTGCCTGCTTTTGTTAGCAGATGACTTTGCCTTAGATATTAATACAGGCTTCACTCAACTACACGAGATGTCACGACGGCGACGGAAACGAAAACGTAAAAAAGGTTTCGTAGGCAAAACATGTCTCACTCTTTTTGGTACGTTTCTTTCACGTCACTATTCGACTTCGACGTGAAATTGCCTTGTTTCCCGTTTTGTTTCTGTGGAGAACATGAATATACGACGACGAATTTTTAAATTTCTAAATTGGATTTGGTTGTTATAGGAATTAAACTCCAGGAGAATTGAAATAAGAAAGGCACTGAAGTTTCAAAGAATGCAAAGTCATTTTTAGGTGATTTTTCCACCGTCGTAGCCTGTTTCAGGCGTTCAAATTGTGGGGATGACGCAAAGAGGTGTGAGCAGGAAGAGGAGGCAGCGAGGGGGTGGGGTAGGGGGTGTGAACGCCTGTAACAGGCTGAAGCTGGCGTGGTATCTTGAACTCCCTGATAGAAGTCACTAGTTTTAGGCGTTCAGACAGTGGAGAGTGGCGCGAAATGGAGAGCACAGCACCCCCTCGCTATGTTTATCTATTCACTTTTCTTTGCGCCATCCCCACTATCTGAACGGATATTAACACTTGGAGCAGGTGCCCCGACCCATGGCAGATGAAGCGCAATCTCTGAATCAGTTGAGACAAGATCGTTTGTGTACGTTTATTTCAAAGATCATTCCCCAAGTTTGGTTTTTTATGATCTCGTCCTAAGAGTACACAATAGAACATATTGCTGCAGAGACTTTTTTCCCTGTAACAAGTGACTGAATTCTGTGAGAAATTGTTGGGCATGAGCTAAGATATATTGAAGAACAAACGCACCGTAAGAGAAGAGGTTTGTTTCCTTCTGGGGTAGTCAACACGACGCATAATTTTTAAAATGTTGAAGAGTCATTACTCCAGATTGAACGAGAGCCTGTCTCGAAAAAGGTTTTTGTGCAGCGGTTTGTTGACGTGGTGAGATGATGCCAGAATTGCAGAAAAATGCCCAAGCAGTTTCGATGAAGCTGTCGAATCCTATAGGGCTATATTTCGTATACTGTATTTTAATTCTTGGTATTGTATCCGTAAAAAGCCGGACCCAGTTCATAGGTAATCTTGTTCCTTAAATCAAAAGGGGAAGCAAGGTTGACATTAATTCGAGAAGAAGTCTGGCGTTCTCTTTAAGATACCGCTTAAGATACCGTCCCACCATCTGAACGTCACCAACTACAGTTCGATCACTTTAAACCTTACGTTTGACATCTTTGGTGGCTTCGCAGGGTTTTTTGGTTATAAAGGTGTTGACTAATCACTGAGCAATCCTGGCTATCGTTCAAATGCCATGTCACGCTTTCCCGCCAATGGCCATGCATTTCCTGTCCGAGTCATTCCTTTGGAGTGACGATAACATGTAATTTGTAACATCGGCTCGTGGTATGAACATTGGAGCTTTGGGAACAAACTGACCCTCTAGCACTGTGTAGTCGCCTTTACCTGGATCTGATAGAAACCACAATACATGAATAGGGTGCAAATTCAGTGTTAAAGAGATCGACAAACCTTACAATAAGAATGGGAAAGTATATTGCTACTGAATCAAGCAACTAGGAATACTTCATATTTATGAAAAAAGAGAAAAAACCAAAATAGTTTAATGTGTTTAAATCCGTAAACGTAGTTCTCGTCCATGAAAATAAGTTATAACAAACTCAATAAATTATGAAAACTGGGTCGATGGTTGCCTAGTCTGTGCTTAGCGTTGGCGTTCTCGGCTTAGCAAACCTGGAGCGTTCCGTGAGTGGTTCAGTTACAGAGAGCTAGAGATCAGACGCGCGGAAAACGCAACAAGACTGCGACTCCGACAATCTAGTTGACTATAGGAACTAAGTGATGTAGCTATATGCGGCGTCGTTAATTTGATTCACTAACCCCCGAGTCTGACTCCGTCGTTAGTGAAAACCTGCCTTGAAAGTTTGCGTATAACACTAATATAAAGACACCCCAACAACTTCCCATGCTTACTGTTGTTCAGTATTGGTGGACGGACAACGGTGTAGCAGAGGCCTGACTCCATAAGTATGCTTTCCATCAAAGCCATATCATGAATGAACCCAGCCATCGCAACAGGCTTTAAAAGCCACTCAACAGTTTTGGGATTTCCTGCTTCCTTCCTAGTGCACCACGAAGTGACACACACTATTCTCTGAAGTTTACTCCTGTTAAATAAACACAGTCTTAGCCAACAGGCGAGGCTGTAATTTCGATTGCAAATTAAGTAAACCTACGATGGAGGTAATAAGTGTTGAGACCTTGCCTGTGATATTAGTAAAACTGTCGACCTCCTACCTCCCATCCCTGCAATGTTGAATTTTAAGCAGAAATGGGTGGAAATGAGTCCTTCAGTGGGCGCACCATTCTATAGGGGGAGTGGGAGGGAAGAAGGAAAGAACACAAGACTGATTAAAGAATTGTCACTAGGAGCAGAGTTCTATGTAACAATTACTTGGAAGAATTTTACCACCTTTCCCAAGTTCTTTGACCTCCATTGTAGCTTAATTTAACATCTGGTGTTCGAGTTGAGTCCAGGATTTACCTGAATTATACATCACGTCTTTTCAAGCGGTCACCCTGCAAGGCGGCTTTACACCTCTTTATGGTGGAATAAAGTTGATGGTTGATTAAATTGGGTGTCACTCAGCACTCTTAAATTCACTTTTCTAAGCGGCTCTGTGTTACTGTTTGGGTTTCTCCAAAATACTGTCTATCATTACGCTCCACGTAATATAAATCAGACATAGTAGGAAGACACATGGTTCGAGGCAAATGCTGGTCAGTTAGCCTTTAAAGCTCTTTATGGATTTAAAGCTCTATATCCTTAGGAACCAGCTCAAGCTGGTACAGGGGGTGGTGGGTTACAGTTAGGAAAGTTCTGAACTAAAAATGTCTGTAGAAGGAAGATGCAATAAATTGTCAACTTATTTTCTTCGCTTAAGAACCAAATTTTGATGATTAATTGCTGTTAACGTTATTATATTAAGTTTAAAATAGTCATGTTCAGCATTAGCAAATCTAAAAATGGATTCTTTATCTCCCCCTGATCAAACTGGAATTTGAAAATCTCAGAGTTAATTAAGGTAAGAGTTAGTTTAGGTAGAGGGGTAAGCTAGAATACCCGAAGAAAAACCTCTTGGGGTAAGGAGGAGAACCACGAGCAAAGTTAACCTACATATGGGCGGAGTCACCTCCAGGACCATCATAACAACCCTTACTCTGTAAAGAGAAGAAAGCAGCAGTGTTACAAGAGAGCACTGGACAAGACACTTACTTTTCCATTGCAGACATTATTGACTTCATTGACTCTGAGTATAATGTTGTGTGTCGAAAGACACTTGTTCCATGGGCACCAAGGCATGATAACACAGCATCTTTGCCTTCAAGGACAGGAATCAAGGACTCTGAGTTTAATATATCCCCTTTGATAACATCCAGCTTTTCATGTCTAAAAATGCAAAAAAGAAAGAGAAAATAAATGGAAAGTCTCTGATGAAAGAGCAAATTTCATGCGCTGCTATGTGAAGTGTCTGTTTCACTGACTAAAGGGGAAGCAAGGTTGACATTAATTCGAGAAGAAGTCTGGCGTTCTCTTTAAGATACCGCTTAAGATACCGTCCCACCATCTGAACGTCACCAACTACAGTTCGATCACTTTAAACCTTACGTTTGACATCTTTGGTGGCTTCGCAGGGTTTTTTGGTTATAAAGGTGTTGACTAATCACTGAGCAATCCTGGCTATCGTTCAAATGCCATGTCACGCTTTCCCGCCAATGGCCATGCATTTCCTGTCCGAGTCATTCCTTTGGAGTGACGATAACATGTAATTTGTAACATCGGCTCGTGGTATGAACATTGGAGCTTTGGGAACAAACTGACCCTCTAGCACTGTGTAGTCGCCTTTACCTGGATCTGATAGAAACCACAATACATGAATAGGGTGCAAATTCAGTGTTAAAGAGATCGACAAACCTTACAATAAGAATGGGAAAGTATATTGCTACTGAATCAAGCAACTAGGAATACTTCATATTTATGAAAAAAGAGAAAAAACCAAAATAGTTTAATGTGTTTAAATCCGTAAACGTAGTTCTCGTCCATGAAAATAAGTTATAACAAACTCAATAAATTATGAAAACTGGGTCGATGGTTGCCTAGTCTGTGCTTAGCGTTGGCGTTCTCGGCTTAGCAAACCTGGAGCGTTCCGTGAGTGGTTCAGTTACAGAGAGCTAGAGATCAGACGCGCGGAAAACGCAACAAGACTGCGACTCCGACAATCTAGTTGACTATAGGAACTAAGTGATGTAGCTATATGCGGCGTCGTTAATTTGATTCACTAACCCCCGAGTCTGACTCCGTCGTTAGTGAAAACCTGCCTTGAAAGTTTGCGTATAACACTAATATAAAGACACCCCAACAACTTCCCATGCTTACTGTTGTTCAGTATTGGTGGACGGACAACGGTGTAGCAGAGGCCTGACTCCATAAGTATGCTTTCCATCAAAGCCATATCATGAATGAACCCAGCCATCGCAACAGGCTTTAAAAGCCACTCAACAGTTTTGGGATTTCCTGCTTCCTTCCTAGTGCACCACGAAGTGACACACACTATTCTCTGAAGTTTACTCCTGTTAAATAAACACAGTCTTAGCCAACAGGCGAGGCTGTAATTTCGATTGCAAATTAAGTAAACCTACGATGGAGGTAATAAGTGTTGAGACCTTGCCTGTGATATTAGTAAAACTGTCGACCTCCTACCTCCCATCCCTGCAATGTTGAATTTTAAGCAGAAATGGGTGGAAATGAGTCCTTCAGTGGGCGCACCATTCTATAGGGGGAGTGGGAGGGAAGAAGGAAAGAACACAAGACTGATTAAAGAATTGTCACTAGGAGCAGAGTTCTATGTAACAATTACTTGGAAGAATTTTACCACCTTTCTCAAGTTCTTTGACCTCCATTGTAGCTTAATTTAACATCTGGTGTTCGAGTTGAGTCCAGGATTTTACCTGAATTATACATCACCTCTTTTCACGCGGTCACCCTGCAACTGGCGGCTTTACACCTCTTTAAGGTGGAATAAAGTGGATGGTTGATTAAATTGGGTGTCACTCAGCACTCTTAAATTCACTTTTATAAGCGGCTCTGTGTTACTGTTTGGGTTTCTCCAAAATACTGTCTATCATTACGCTCCACGTAATATAAATCAGACATAGTAGGAAGACACATGGTTCGAGGCAAATGCTCGTCAGTTAGCCTTTAAAGCTCTTTATGGATTTAAAGCTCTATATCCTTAGGAACCAGCTCAAGCTGGTACAGGGGGTGGTGGGTTAAACTTAGCAAAGTTCTGAACTAAAAATGTCTGTAGAAGGAAGATGCAATAAATTGTCAACTTATTTTCTTCGCTTAAGAACCAAATTTTGATGATTAATTGCTGTTAACGTTATTATATTAAGTTTAAAATAGTTATGTTCAGCATTAGCAAATCTAAAAATGGATTCTTTATCTCCTCCTGATCAAACTGGAATTTGAAAATCTCAGAGTCAATTAAGGTAAGAGTTAGTTTAGGTAGAGGGGTAAGCTAGAATACCCGAAGAAAAACCTCTTGGGGTAAGGAGGAGAACCACGAGCAAAGTTAACCTACATATGGGCGGAGTCACCTCCAGGACCATCATAACAACCCTTACTCTGTAAAGAGAAGAAAGCAGCAGTGTTACAAGAGAGCACTGGACAAGACACTTACTTTTCCATTGCAGACATTATTGACTTCATTGACTCTGAGTATAATGTTGTGTGTCGAAAGACACTTGTTCCATGGGCACCAAGGCATGATAACACAGCATCTTTGCCTTCAAGGACAGGAATCAAGGACTCTGAGTTTAATATATCCCCTTTGATAACATCCAGCTTTTCATGTCTAAAAATGCAAAAAAGAAAGAGAAAATAAATGGAAAGTCTCTGATGAAAGAGCAAATTTCATGCGCTGCTATGTGAAGTGTCTGTTTCACTGACATGTTTTTATTGTTCATCAAGTAATATAAAGAGTTTACAACCACAAGAAGAGTCTATTTTTCTACATAAAATGTGTGTTAAACTCTAGTCCAAGTTTGACTTCGTTTCAGTAACCAGCTTGTTAAGTTTCAACGACATTCACTCCAAGTTTGTGACGGCTGAAAATAGGGCATGTGCCTTTTCACACTTTGCGTGACTTTCAAGAGTGTGTTATTGCAGGTGTTACGCAAACCAAAACAGAATTATGCAAATTCAACTGGACGAGCAAAAAATGCAGTCGACATGTATCTTCGTTTTTTTGTGAAGAAGAATCGAGAATAAAACAAAAGCAAGCCAGAATTATTAGATAAAAACATTTAGAGCAGTTTCAAAATAACTAGCTAGCAAAATCGTCTCTGACCTTTACTTTTAATAGAACATTGGGAAGAATACGTGTACGTAATTTACCAAAGCTTATATTAACACTGATGAGTTATACACAAGCCCACAAAAGTAAAATCATTCGTCTTTGATAAACAAGTAAGCTTTTACGATGTTTTATCATACATATCTCTTAACCTACTCGAGAGGTTAAAACGAAAAAAAAGTATGGTGCAACATCTGTGGTCATCAGTGCAATTGCTAGCACAAATGAACATATGAATTGGAACGACATACGTACAAACATAAACATACTTGATGTCGAATTTCTCTGGACTTCTAACAACAGCAGTTACAAGATGACCTTTTTGTAGCGCCTGTTGTACCAGAAGACGCCCCATAGGACCTGAAGCGCCAAAAACAACTAAGCTAGGATAAAGCAATTCAGCTGCCTGGGCCATGAGCACGTTCACGTCTGTCATCCTCAATTTACGTCATGTGCGAATGACTCAAGTGTATCTATTGATTTTTGGTCAATTGATTTGTTCGAGTCCAAAAAAACATGGCAGAAGCTCGATTGCTTTATCCAAAGCTGGCAGTTTTCGGAGCCTCGGGACCGACTGGACAGGAGGTTGTTAAACAGGCTCTAGCAAAAGGTCATTCAGTGACAGCAGTCGTAAGAAGCCCGGATAAATTCACGCTCAGGTATTTTAGATTGGGTCTTCGGGAACACCTTGATATTGAAATAACCGCCCATGTTAGCCTTTAAAGCGCTTTATGGATTTAAAACTCTATACCCTTAGGAACCAGCTAAAGCTGGTACAGGGGGTGGTGGGTTAGAGTTAGGAGAGTTCTAAACTAAAAATGTCTGTAGAAGGAAGATGCAATAAAATGTCAACTGATTTTGATGATAAATTGCTGTTAACGTTATTATGCTGAGTTTAAAATAGTTATGTTCAGCATTAGCAAATCCAAAAAAAGGATTCTTTATCTCCCCCTGATTAAACTGGAATTTCAAAATCTCAGAGTTAATTAAGGTAAGAGTTAGTTTGGGTAGAGGGGTGATTCAGGGCGGACAGCAGTCGTAAGAAGCCCGGATAAATTCACCCTGAGGTAATTTAGGTTGGGTCTTCGGGAACACCTTGATATTGAAATAACCACCCATGCATAATAGAGGGTTCTGCTGATGGACTCGCGATAGTTCAACAAACGTACATTGAGTTGAAGTAAGACTTATCACGAGTTTCACATGAAATACAAATGAATGGTGATAAGCTCCTTGTGATACAACGGCAATGGTTGAAACGTCTGGGTCGTGCGGCTAAGTTATTCCTTTATGCAGGGAGTGTATTTTAGTTGGTTTGTTTGCTTAAAAAGTTGGTCCGAATATTGCAATTCTTATTTTGATTTTTTTCTCTAGAATCGTCTTTTCTTCATCTTAATCCATTAGTAAATTAGTAGCACCTTTTTTCTTCGTCTCTGAAAAAAAACATGCAATTCTGTTTTGAGTATTGTTTTCAACGGATGATCCTTTAAGAAGAATTGTCACCTTTATTAGTCTCGCTTGCTTTTTTAGCCGTTTTGGTTTGAAACAGGGTATCAATTTCGACCATTTTGGTCTGAAACAGGGTATGGTTTGTGCCTTCTAGTCTTGAATTGGGTATGTTTTTTAGAAGAATTAGCCACTTCTTCATCATTTGCTGATAAGACCATTTCCCTTTTAATGTTTACGCCAAATACAGTGTACGTGCCGTGCCGCAACAGCTTGTCATGCGCTCCGGTCACGTGCCGGGCCCCAGGGCTTCAGGTCTGAAATAGGGCAGGGAAAATCACAGATTTTGCTCTGAAATAGGGTAAGGGTTTCAGGAAGCGTGCTGCACACCCCACCCAATTTTTCTGGAAGTACCCCCCGGAATTTTTGATCCGTTTTGAATTGGGTATGTTTTTTAGAAGAATTAGCTACTTTTTCATCATTTGGCGATAAGACCATTTCCCTTTTAATGTTTACGCCAACTACTGTGTACATTCCGTAACAGCTTGTCATGCGCTCCGGTCAGTACCGGGCCTGGGCCGGAATCCTGCGGGGGCAATAATCACAGGGCTGAAATCCGACGCGATACTTTCCGTTGTTGACAACGCGTTGATAACGCGTTATGAGTTTCAAGTAAGCCAGGCCAAATTGTAGCAAAATTCGCTTACATTCTGCTTCCCCAAATTAAGTACGATTGTTTTGATATTTCTAAATCATTTCTATGGCTGTAAAAAGCCTTCTACAGACACATCAGATATATGATTGAGAGCACGTCACGCAACGAGTTCAAACGAAGATTTTCGTATTTTCTCGCCACTTTCCGTGCTACAATCGGATCAGTGGCACAACAAACGATATGAACAGCGGTTTACTCGTAAGAATTGAAGATGGCGACGAAGAAAACAGCGCAGCGCGACGAAAATAACGGGCGAATTAGGGGCAATTTTGCGGCTGTGTTGGACCGCACCAAAAACAAATCGATGTAAAAAGATGAGGATTTATAATACCGCGCTGAAACTTGCCAGGTTTATTCACATGATGTAAAGGAAAAATGTATTGAATTTCCGGCAATTCCCGGAATATTGTGGAATTTTTGCAGCGGCCTGAAGTTACAGGGCATTACAAAAGAATTCCACCTCTATATCTCAGGAAATATTTACTGGCTACTGCCGGGAATTTAAAGGTAAATGAACAAACTAATTTTCTTGTTATTCCTAGCTGTCGAGAGAAAGCCAGAAATACGGAATTATTGAATTTTTGAGCCTGCGATATAAATCGGAAATAACACCTTTAATATGTGTGAAAATTGACACCTCGCATATCAATTTTCTGAAAGCTCAGTTCTCGCTTGATAGGCCTGTGTAACTTTTATTTTGCAAAATTTCTAATCATTTGAGATATAAATTTTTCAAATGGAAGGGTTTATAGCAGATCTAATACCTTACTAAAGTTCATTATTATTTATTATCATGTTTCTTGTAGAATTAATCGCCTCCTCATTTTTCTATCTAATCTCCAAGCAGGCGAGACGGGCATGCCGCTGTAGGTGCGTGCTTGTTCAAAATTATCAAGACCTGCAACTTGGTACCTCTTGCTTTCCAGCACTTTGCAAACTGAAATTTTAAATTTTTGTGGAATTTTTGCTTTAGCCGCTTCTTATAGGAGTGAAGAGTAGGTTAGCCGGGTCTCTGGTCCAGAGTTGGGTGAAAAAGGATAAACATCAATCTCCTCTGGACTGTGGTGACAGAAAGACCAATTTGCATATGGAAGCGTTTAACGAAAGAAATGTAAATAATAATTTACTGTGTACGGACAGAAGACTCTCTTTAGGATCTGCGTAGACGCTAATGCGCATAATTTACTGATCTAGTAAGGTAGTCTGATTTGTCAGCCGTCTCCACCCCCTAATACAACACGTGGCGGTTATTCGGGGCTTTGTACTTGTTAAAAAAAAATGGATACGTGTTTTTGCAGTTTTTCATCTTAATAGACTGATCATGATCATGTGCATGTTCTTGGGCCATATCACTTTGTTTACCTTTAAAGGTGACCGAGAGTATATTTTTTGTTTGGTTGATCAATCTAAAATATCCAATGTCTGGTGTTGGCCTTATTCTGCGGTCTAAAGGCCAGGGCCGTCAGGCTGATTTTTTCTAATGCCTGGTTCTCATATGCGGCGAAACTACCTGAGCCATCGCTTCCACCGAGGATGCTGTTCCTACAAATGAGAAGATACACCACTCAGAACAACAACGACTGGAATCGCCTGTAATACAGCGACTCCTGGCTGTATTGGGGTTATATTGCGGGCAGCTAGTTCTCCTTTTACGGCGATCGAGTGAAGCGAGCCGCGCGAGAGAACGCGCGAGCGAGCGGCGAAGGTTCTCGCCCCGTATCCTTTGGCTTGCCGCTCACATTTGACTTGAGAGGCTACAGTTGTTTATAAAATAACTAAGATAGTACGCACGCTTTCAGGCTATGCAAACACTGAAAACGTTTTCTATTGCTTAAATCCCAGAAGAAACCAATGTTAACTGAGTGCCATTATTAAATTGCAGTCATGACAACCTAGAGGTTGTTAAGGGCGATGTGTTCCAAGCAGATTCCCTTTTTCCTATTCTTGAGGGCAAGAATGCTGTGATGTCATGCCTTGGATTTCATAGTGGAACTTTTTTCAACCCAACAACATTGTTCTCCAAGTCCATAACAGAAATAATCACAGCCATGGAAAGGTACTAACAATTTAATTATGAGTGAAATGTGTCCGCGAAATAACATGCGTATCACAACCCCTCTTTCGGTATTCAAATGATATACTGAGTTCATTTTATTTTTTTGCAGCCATTTAATTGTAAAACAATCCTATTACTGGACAATTATATTTTTGCTATTTTTGTCGGTTGCTGTTGTTGTTGTTATTGTTGTTAGTATAACTTTATAGGGCGAGTTTATAAAAAATTCAAACTTCAAATAGATTGTAGGGTATATTTGTCGGTTAATATACCAAAATCAGTCTCTCTTTCAGTTAGCACTGTACAATGTTGTACAACAAAATTTCATTTTTCGCATTTCTCGCCGTAAACATTTCATGGCGATTATTTCAACTCACTAAACTGGTCACCATCGTAATTTCTTGAAACTCTCTATTGATAAATCATACCCCACATGTGACCCTGCAGGGGCACCCAACGATAGTTTCCTCCTAAATGCATTGAAAACACTTTTTGGAATATCCAGAGTACTTTTAGATCGGCAGGAATACATTTCAAGTGGCACTACCAAATATTCATCTGTTCGGTCATCCTAAGGCAACTTGGCCTTTACCGATGATTAGGAGATCATTATTCATTTTGTCGAAAATTTCAGATGCTATCTTAAGTTTTATGAAGGTGAGAATTTTTCCGATTTTTTCATATTTCCATTATACTTTCGAATCCCAAAAGTTTATTTTCCTTTTCCTGCGAACAATAGACTAAACCTGGGCAATAAAATGTGAAAACATGAATCAAGCGTCAGAAAATTGTAGGGATGTAGTTATTGTATATAGGTTCAAATGTCTGGAACAGACGTCTTGAAAGCCGTTTGTTTCTCCTGACCTTGGTTCCATAAAGCACAAAAGCTTAGCCTATTTCCGCTCCAAACAGTCTACACTCAATCTGCACTCAATTCCAGACCAAAAGGGTACTTCTGTAAAAGGCGGGAATTTGGCGCGAAACTCACCCACCGCTGTGGCTTTTGATTGGACGTGTCATTTTTCTCACACGTGAAAAATCATGGTTCGCGTTTCTGATTGGACGTATCATTTTTTTTTTCACGCGTGAAGAATATTGTTGGCTTCTCTGATTGGCTAGAACGTATTTGCCTATGAAAATTTAAGACATAGCATTTTGGTGAGTGTGGTAATAATAGATAGCTTTCTGGAGGATGCTCCGAGGAGTAGCTCTCTTGCGTATCTCAAGTACTTTCTAACACTCATAAGTGTTACTTACAGGAATGGAATTGAGAGACTGGTCTGTATTACTGGAATTTACGCTCAGAACGACCCAGCCAATCCCAGATGGATTACGTTGCTTAGACCGTTTATGAGAGCCTTTATTAACGACGTGGTTTTGATGGAGAACACTGTTATGCAGTCGAATCTCATCTACACTATTATGAGGCCTCCGTTTTTAACCAATGGTAAGTTCCTCTTTGACAAGCCTCCCATGCAGACGTTCTTGGTCTTGGTCACGCGTTCTTTCCCCACCAACATTTGTTGGGGAGGATTGCGTGACGTCTGCGTGGAAGGCTACCCTTTGACGTGATGATCGTTTTTATTTGTGATATCTGTTATCTCTTTTTGTAATGAATATTTAAAGAGGCTGTGTCACGGCTGTCTTGTTCATTTTGTTGATACTCCCGATGTCGATTATTCGCTATTGTGGACTTAGCATTAGCGAAGAAAGTACTTGTAAATGAGAAAATCACAACTTCGTGTCAAACAAATGAGTCTCCTAAAGATCATATCAAGCGTTACAAACGACAAAAATGAACTTTGAAAAACTGTTAGTCTAAACAAGTTTTCAAATACAGCATTGCAATGAAGTTGTCATTTGTGCCTTTTTGTGTATTTGCTGTGTTATTTATACCATCTTGTTAAGTTTTGAGCGGCTTTTTTCATGTTTCACTCAATTTGGTGATATTTTTATCGTTTTAATTTTAAGAACTGGTTTTTGTGACGCAGCTCCTTTAAAGAAATAAAGATAGAGAATTATTAATAGAATCGCATAATTGAGTAAAATCTCGCATTCTAATTGGTTAACGAAGCGAGGTGTTTAGTGTGGAACTGCGAGTTGAAAACGCATCTACGTAACAACTATCGTCAAATTTTAACACAACAACTCCAAAAAAGGTTTTCTACAAATTCATTTTAAATGTTTTCAAAATCATTTTCATGTTTTGAAAAGTTAAAAACAAACAAAAGCGTTTTTAAAAGTGATCCGGAGGTTCTTTCTTGTTTTGAGCTAAACTACAAATTCTTGGAGAGGCATGAGAAACCTTTTTCGCTAGCGGCAACGAGAAAAGAAGAAAATCCTGTGAACACGGCCCAGAAAATGGTAAGCCAAAGTTCAACCAAACAAAGGGTACGCCGCTTGCAATCGTCCTGAATCGTGGTACTTAGAAAAGTACAAAACAGAGCTGAACTTGAACAGCATTTCTAAAACACTTCAAGGTACTTACCTTATATCAATCGCGACGTTAAACTTTCAGTGCTTTCCTTCACTTCATTTCTTTCAGTTTTGCCACCGAAGAGGTAAAGGTGTAAATTATTTTCCTTCTCGAGCAAATGACCAATTTGAAAAAAGATGTTATAGATGAACGGCTTATAAATTCAGTGAAATACCTCTATTCATCATTATTATTAGTGTGAAGCTTGTTTACATGCAAAAAAGTTTGAAAACAAATGTAAAAACAAGGACAAGGGACAAAAAAAGTTGTCGAAGGCTCAAACGTGTACGACCTTGCTTCCTATTCGCTAACGCAATGACAGTTCTGACAGTTGACTTTGAAATGGCTTTCTGGAGCGCGCCCTGAGGATAAAAACAAACAATATTATTGCTGTTTTCTTTTTTTTCTGATTTTTATTCGATTATGCGATTCAAGGAAAATCCATTACCTGACTCGTGAATTCCACTTGAAAACCGATATCGCGCTCATCGCGATATTGGTTTTCGCGTACAATTTAACGTGGAATTCCCTCGTCAGGTAATGAATTTTCCTATAAAATGGGTAGATAACAATCTCATTCATTGGCCCTGGCTACCATAAAATATAGCGTCTTGGCATTGAATTTCTCAGTAACTGATACGCTACTTTAGCATCAGCAAAAGGTGCTTTTGTAAGAATTTCGACTTAGAACACCTAAAACGTAACGAAAAGAGTTAACCCAACGTTTCGATGATGCCACGACATCATTATCAAGTGACAAGATAAAAAAAAATTAGGCCGTGGTCATTCTAAGAGCTTTCCAATTGCCGGATGACGCACAGGTGGCCCAAGCTCAGTGTGTGAGTTTAATCATTAATACATACAGTTTCATACTGCGTAATTTAAAATGGACGTGAATATAAAGGACTTGTAAGGGAATTCAGGTAAAAGATTCAAGTAGATAAATACTCGCTAGAATGTTCAATAGAATGTGTGTGGTTATTTTCCCGATCCATTACGATTTAAGCGATTTCCTTTAACCCCGAGACTTGGGACCATTTTAAATTACCCAATATGAAACTACATGTATTAATGATTAAACTCACACACTGAGCTTGGGCTCCCTGTGGGTGATGTATATGGTAAAATGCAATAGTTTGTATTTTAAGGTAAAGAAAAGTTTCTTCCTTTCTTTAGGACCTGCAACTGATAATTATATGGTTGCCGAGGGCCAATTCGTACCAAATTCTTCTTGGACATTGTCGCGAGCAGATTTAGCTCATTTTATGTTGAAGTCGTTACAGTCAAATGAATGGGACAAGAAGGGCATGGCGATTGCTGGTGGAAAATAAGACGATGTCTGTCAAAAGTTTAGATAGTACAGTACTGATGAAAGAGGAAACGGCTAAAAAGGCATTTTAAAAACGTTAGTTGTCAAAAACAGCCATAGATTCATTTATTTAACAAACGAGGTAGTAAATGATAATTACCTAAATGATAAAAATGCGCCATTCTTAGTTCCAAAACCCCTTCATGCAGAAGCTTTCAAATGAGCCTAAATGCAAACCTTTCTTGTAATAATGACTATTATTTGCGTGAGAATTTGATTAAAAACTTCACTCATGCTATCCTTTTGCGCACGAGTCCTGAGAGCGTCTCGCGGAAATGGCCCATGAACTTGGCAAGACCTGAACATTAACAGAGCCGAGTAGCAGCCGTAGACAGCTTTTCGTCGCCATTAGAATGCATCATAAGTAGTGCATAGCAATATAGTTAGAAATACTTAAAAATGTCCAGTATACTCTTTAGCTTTTACGAGGCTTAAACTTAGAGGACCCTAACCAAACTCGGCCTTGTCACATGTCTTGAATCCTGGTGTTTTGATGACGTCTTGCAAAGTGAATTTAATAGGCCATTTCCGCGTTCCAAAAACTCTCACTTTCAAAACAAGGCTAAGTGCAAAACTTTTCTGGTGAAAATGAGTTTTACTTGCATGAGAACAAATAATCATTTTCATATCAATGGCTTTGCACTTAGCCTCGTTTTGAAACAGAGGCTTGGGGCAACTCGGAAATGGCCTATTAGATGATGATGATGGTGGTGATGATGATGATGATGATGATGGTTATCTACCTAAGAAAAGGACCGCAAACGAAAATGCTGCTCGTATACGTGTAGATCAGCAGCCAAAAGATATTACATACTTCAGCAATAAAAAATTTGCCCCTGTAGTTGGTCTATAGAATTAATGAAAACGACAATTTGATAAAAAGGGTGTTTATAACGAAAAGAGCAACCAGTTGTTTATTCGAGCCCCAAACAAGACCTTATATGAGGTACTGACACATTTTAATGAACAAAAAGCTAGTTAAAGGCAGGTTACTTTGCAGCTTTGCCGGGTAAGGAGCATATATAAGAAAAAGACCTGAATAAGGCCTAAATATATTATAGCCAGGCTCTTCTGCATTAAAAATAAGAAACACGATGAAATGCTCCAAACTTGCCCAAAATATTGTCCGATGCTTGTCTTTGTTCTCTGTGACGATGCTGTGCAAATAATATTAGGACGATACAAGTAATATATAACACCCCATGATATTTTAGTAAATAGTGGTTATAAATATGTCTAGCAGTTATGTTTAGCAGTCATCTTGGTTATCCTACTGTGGTGTTTACCTATAGTAAAATGATTTTTACCAGGGCAATTGATATCCTACGGAGTAGTAAATGGAATTTTGTTTTTTTACCTGATGATTTACCTAAAAACCCCTCAACCCCTCAGAGAGTTGCGGTTGTTAACAGCTAAAATGAGAGCAAAACGCATGTATACTGATGCAACATGGTAACTTAAAACAAAAATCACGACACCTGATGTTGCTGAAGCTGCCTTTTTCTTCTCTGCCTCGTTAGAGGTTGGACAGAATCTGTGCTGGAGAAAAATCCTGCTTACGCCAATGCATTTGAAACATTAACCCCCTTCAAAGTGATTTAAAATTCTCACTATGCGCACAGCACGGGGCTCTTATGAAATTGTTTACTGGACTATGTCGTATTACACTAATACGAAGCACCTTGTGCTTTTTGCGAGATCAAATTTCTACCAAATAAGGAAGATGACGGAAAATTGCCTTACAGAACTCAACACAAAAACACGATTGCGTGAAGATTGCAGTTTGCAAAGACAGTGAAAAAACCTCACTGTTGCTACTCGCTATTGTACTGTAAATCCAGATTATTGTTATCAGGACAAGCCCAGAGGAGGATCATTGTCTTTTTATAATAGTTCATTGAAGCATTTCTTTTGTATTAGTTCATTAAAGTCTTGTTTTAAAGAAAATATGCATTTTTGGAGTTCTTTTCAGGTTCAGTAAAAAAGGAAAAGGTTTCGTGGGCAAAACACGACAACGAATTTTTAAATTTCTAAATTGGATTTGGTTCTTATAGGAATTTAACTCCAGGGGAATTGAAATAAGAAAGGCGCTGAAGTTTCAAAGAATGCAAAGTCATTTGTAAATGACTTTTCCGTCGTCGTCGCCTGTTTCAGGCGTTCAAATTGTAGGGAAGGCGCAAAGAGGTGTGAGCAGGAAGAGGAGGCAGCGAGGGGGTGGGGTAGGGGGTGTGAACGCCTGTAACAGGCTAAAGCTGGTGTGGTATCTTGAACTCCCTGATAGAAGTTACTAGTTTTAGGCGTTCAGACAGTGGAGAGTGGCGCGAAATGGAGAGCAGAGCACCCCCTCGCTGTGTTTCTCTATTCACTTTTCTTTGCGGCATCCCCACTATCTGAACAGATATGAACGCTTGGAGCAGGTCCCCGGGCCCATGGCAGATGAAGCGCAATCTCTGAATTAGTTGAGAGAAGATCATTTGTGTACGTTTATTTCAAAGATCATTCCCCAAGTTTGGTTTATAATGATCACGTCTTGAGAGTACACATCAGAACATATTGCTGCAAAGACCTTTTTCCCTGTAACAAGTAATAACGTGAGTAGTAACGTGAGTGATTCCCCTTTTTTGTCGTGTACTGAATTCTGTGAGAAATTGTTGGGCATGAGCTAAGATATATTGAAGAACAAACGCACCGTAAGAGAAGAGGTTGGATTCCTTCAGGGGTCGTCAACACGACGCATAATTTTCAAAATGTTGAAGAACATTACTCAGATTGAACGAGAGCCTGTCTCGAAAAAGGTTTTTGTGCAGCGGTTTGTTGACGCGGTGAGATGATGGCAGAATTGCAGAAAAATCCCCAGGCAGTTTCGATGAAGCTGCCGAATCCTATAGGGCTATTTCGTATACTGTATTTTAATTCTTGGTATTAAATCCGTAAAAAGCCGGACCCAGTTCATAGGTAATCTTGTTCCTTTCAAAAGGGGAAGCAAGGTTGACATCAATTCGAGCATTTTGTTAAACGTTAATCGTTATTTACCACATCAGATCACGTGCACTAAAATGGTTATAGAAATGCACCAATATGAAGAGGTCTGTTGTGCAGTGTCACGCCGTCACGCTTGTCACAGAAGAAGTCTGGCGTCCTTTTTGAGATACCATCCCACAATCTGAACGTCACCAACTACAGTTCGACTACTTTAAACCTTACGTTCGACAACTTTGGTGGTTTCGCAGGGTTTTTGGGTTAAAAAGGTGTTGACTAATCACTGAGCAATCCTGGCTATCGTTCAAATGCCATGTCACGCCTTCCCGCCAATGGCCATGCACTTCCTGTCCCAGTCATTCCTTTGGAGTGACGATAACATGTAATTTGCAACATCGGCTCGTGGTATGAACATTGGAGCTTTGGGAACAAACTGACCCTCTACCACTGTGTAGTCGCCTTTAGCTGGATCTGCATGAAAGAAACCACAATACATGAATAGGGTGCAAATTCAGTGTTAAAGAGAACGACAAACCTTACCATTGCGACTGTATGAAGCAACTGGGAATACTTTATATTTATGAAAAAAGAGAAAAAGCAAAATAGGTTAATGTGATCAAAGGCGTACACGTAGATCTCGTCTATAAAAATAAGTTACAAGCAAACTCAATAAATTATGAAAACTGGGTCGATGGTTACTGTTTTTTCCGGCGACTCTTCGCAGCCTATCTAGTCTGTCCTTAGCGTTGGCGTTCTCGGCTTAAAAAACCTGGAGCGTACCGCGAGTGGTTCACTTACAGAGAACTAGAAATCAGACTTAGCACTGACAAGGCAAAAAGACTGCCTAACTCCGAAGCTAGTTGACTATAGGAACTAAGCGACGTAGCTATATGCGGCGTCGGTTATTTGATTCACTAACTCCAAGTGTGACTCCGTCGTTAGTGAAAATCTGCCTTGTAAGTTTGCGTATAACATTAACAGAAAGACGCCTCAACAATTTCCCATGCTTACTGTTATTCAGTCCTGGTGGACGGACCACGGTGTAGCACAGGCCTGACTCCATAAGTATGCTTTCCATCAAAGCCATATCATGAATGAACCCAGCTATTGCCACAGGCTTTAAAAGCCACTCAACAGTTTTGGGATTTCCTGCTTCCTTCCTGGTGCACCACGAAGTGACACACACTATTCTCTGAAGTTTACTCCTGTTGAGTAAACACAGTCTTAGCCAACAGGCGAGGCTGTAATTTCGATTGCAAATTAAGTAAACCTACGATGGAGGTAATAAGTGTTGAGACCTTGCCTGTGATATTAGTAAAACTGTCAACCTCCCCTCTCCCACCCCAGCAGCAAATGGGTGGAAATGAGTCCTGTCAGTGGGCGTACCATTCCATAGCGGGAGTGGGAGAGAAGAAGGAAAGAAAACAAGACTGATTAAAGAATTGTCACTAGGAGCAGCGTTCTATGTAACAATTACTTGGAAGAATTTCACCACCTTTCCCAAGTTCTTTGATCTCCATTGTAGCTTAACTTAACGTCCAGTGTTTGCGTTGAGTCCAGGATTTTACCTGTATTATACATCACCTCTTTTCACGCGGTAACCCTGTAAGGCGGCTTTACACCTCTTTAGGGTGGAGTGAAGTGGATGGTTGATTAAATTGGGTGTCTCTCACCACTGTTAAATTCGCTTTTCTAAGCCGCTCTATGTTACTGTTTGGGTTTTTCCAAATACTGTTTGTCATTAAGCTCCACATAATATAAGTCAGAAATATTAGGTCAATGGTTCAACGGAAATGTTCGTCAGTTAGCCTTTAAAGCTCTTTAAGGGAATAAAGCTCTATACCTTTGGAACCAGCTAAAGCTGCTACAGGGGGTGGTGGGTTAAAGTTAGGGATGTTCTAAACTAAAAATGTCTGTAGAAGGAAGATGCAATAAAATGTCAATTTATTTTCTTTGCTTAAGAACCAAATTTTGATGATAAATTGCTGTTAACGTTATTATACTGAGTTTAAAATAGTTATATTCAGCATTAGCAAATCTAAAAATGGATTCTTTGTCCTCGCTGATCAAGCTGGAATTTGAAAATCACACAGTTAATTAAGGTAGAGTTAGTTTAGGTAGAGGGGTAAGCTAGAATACCCAAAGAAAAACTGTTGGGGTAAGGTGGAGAACCAAGAGCAAAGTTAACCTACATATGGGCGAAGTCACCTTCAGGACCATCAGAACAACCCTTACTCTGTAAAAAGAAGAAAGCAGCAGTGTTACAAGAGAGCACTGGACAAGACACTTACTTTTCCATGGCAGACATTATTGACTTCATTGACTCTGAGTATAATGTTGTGTGTCGAAAGACACTTGTTCCATGGGCACCAAGGCATGATAACACAGCATCTTTGCCTTCAAGGACAGGAACCAAGGACTCTGAGTTGAATATATCCCCTTTGATTATATCCAGCTTTTCATGTCTAAAAAATGCCAAAAAAAAAAAAAGAAATAGAAAATAAATGGAAAGTCTCCGATGAAAGAGCAAATTTCATGCGCTGCTGTGCGAAGTGTCTGTTGTTTCAAATGTTTTTTGTTCATTAACCAGATCTGAAGAATTAACAACGACAACTGAGAAGAGTCTACATAAAATGTGTGTTTAACTGTGGTCAAGTTTGACTTCGTTTTAATAACCAGCTTTTTAAGTTTCCACGACGTTCACATGCATTCACTCCAAGTGCGTGACGATTGAAAATAGGGCATATGCCTTTCCACACTTTGCGTGACTTTCAAGAGTGTGTTATCGCAGGTATTGGGAAAACCGAACAAGAATTATGCAAATTCAACTAGACGAGCAAAGATGCAGTCGACATGTATGTCCTTTTTTTCTAAAGAAGAGTCGAGATTAAAGCAGAGGCATGCCATAATTATTAGGTAAAAACAAAATAGAGCAGTTTCAAAATAATTAGCAAAATCGTCTCTGACCTTTACTTAAGAAAATTGGGAAGAATAAGTGTACGTTATTTACTAAAGCTTAATATGCACAATCCCACAAAAGTAAACATGTACATCACTCGTCTTTCCGTTTTTTTTAAATAACTGAGGTTCGTTCTGGGTGTTTGATAAATAAATAAGCTTTTACGATGTTTTATCATACATATATCTTAACCTACTCCAGAAGTTACAACGAAAAAAAACAAAACAAAACATGCTGCAACATCTGCGAACATCGGGCAGGAACATATGAATGAAAATAACATTCGTACAAACATAAACATACTTGATGTCGAATTTCTCTGGACTTCTAACAACAGCAGTTACAAGATGACCCTTTTGTAGCGCCTGTTGTACCAGAAGACGTCCCATAGGACCTGAAGCGCCAAAAACAACTAAGCTAGGATAAAGCAATTCAGCTGCCTGTGCCATGATTTCGGCGTTCACGTCTATCATCTTCAATTTACGTCATGTACGAAGGAACCAAGTGTATCTATTGATTTTTGGTCAATTGATTTGTTTGAGTCCAAAAAAATATGGCAGAAGCTCGATTGCTTTATCCAAAGCTGGCCGTTTTCGGAGCCTCGGGACCGAGTGGGCAGGAAGTTGTTAAACAGGCTCTAGCAAAAGGTCATTCAGTGACAGCAGTCGTAAGAAGCCCGGATAAATTCACGCTCAGGTATTTTAAATTGAGTCTTCGGGGGCACCTTGATATTAAAATAACCGTCCATCCGTAAAGAAAAGGTTCTGCTAATCGTCTCATGATAGTTCAACAAACGTTCATTGAGTTGAAGTAAGACTTAATATCACGAGTTTGACATGTAACACAAATGAATGGTGACAGGCGCCTTGTGATACAACAGCAATGGTTGAAACGTCTTGGTCGTGCGGCTAAGTACAGCTAAGTTAATTCCTTTATGCATGAACAGGGCTAGTGTATTTTAGTTGGTTTGTTTGCTTTAAAAGCTGGTCAGAATATTGCGATCCTTATTTTGATTTTTTCTCTAGGGTTGTCTTTTTTCCAATCTTAATCCATTAGAAAATTAGTAGCACCTTTTTTCTTGGTCTCTGAAGAAAAAAAACATGCAATTCTGTTTTGAGTGATGTTTTCAACGGATGATTACGCTGGTCCGCCTTTAAGAGGAATTGTCACCTTTATTCAACCTTTATTCAAAATTATCAAGACCTGCAACTCGGTACCTCTTGCTTTCCAGCATTTTGCTATAACTGAAATTTGAAATTTTTGTGGAATTTTTGCTTTAGCCTCTTCTTTTAGGAGTAAAGAGGGTGTAAAAGGATAAACATCAATCTCGTGTGGACTGTCGTGACAAAAAGACGAATTTGCATATATGGAAGCGTTTAACGAAAGAAATGTAAATAATAATTTACTATGTACGGACAGAAGACTCTCTTTAGGATCTGCGTAGACGCTAATACGCATAATTTACTGATGTGTAAAGTCGTCCGATTTGTCAGTCGTCTCCACCCCCTAACCCCCCTAATATAACCCGTGGCCGGTTAAAGACATTTCCGGCTATGTACTTGTTTGATGTAAAAAATGGATACGTGTTTTTGCGGTTTTTCATCTTAATAGACTGATCATGATCACGTGCCTGTTCTTGGGCCGTATCAGTTTGTTTACCTTTAAAGGTGACCGAGAAGTTTTATTTTTTTTTGGTTAGTTGATCTAATCTAAAACATCCAATGTCTGGTGTTGGCCTTATTCTGCGGTCTAAAGGCAAGGGCCATCAGACTGATTTTTTCTAATGCCTGGTTCTCATATGCGGCGAAACTACCTGAGCCATCGCTTCCACCTGGGATACTGTTCCGACAAATGAAAGGCCTGTAATACAGCGACTCCTGGCCGGCTGTATTAGGGTTATATTGCGGGCAGCTCTCCATTTACGGCGATCGAGTGAAGCCTGCTGCGAGAGGACGCGCGAGCCAGCGGCGAAGGTTCTCGCCCCGTATCCGTTGGCGTGCCGCTCACGTGCGACTTGAGAGCTTGCTTGTAGGCTACAGTTTTATGGCAGTTTAAGGTCGTTGGTGTGTATAAACCAATGTTAACTGAGTGACATTATTAAATTTGCAGTCATGAAAACCTAGAGGTTGTTAAGGGCGATGTGTTCCAAGCAGATTCCCTTATTCCTATTCTTGAGGGCAAGAATGCTGTGATGTCATGCCTTGGATTTCATAGGGGAACTTTTTTCACCCCAACAACATTGTACTCCAAGTCCATAACGGAAATAATCACAGCCATGGAAAGGTACTAACTATTTAATTATCAGTGAAATAACCTGCGTATCATAACCCTCCTTTCGGTATTCAAATGATATACGGAGTTCATTTTAATTTTTTGTAGCCATTTAACTGTGAAACAATTCTCTCACTGGACAATTATATTTTTTCTATTTTTATCGGTTGCTGTTGTTGTTGTTATTATAACTTTAAGGGGCGAGTTTATAAAAACTTCAGACTTTAAATAGATTGTAGGGTATATTTGTCGTCTAGCATACTAAAATCAGTCTCTCTCTCAGTTAGCGCTGTACAATGTAGTACAACACAAGTTAAATTTTCGCATTTCTCGCCGTAAAAATTTCATGGCGATTATTTCAACTTACTAAACTGATTAACTGGTCGCTATCGTGATTTCTTGAAACTCTCCGTATTGATAAATCATATCCCACATGTGACCCTGCATGGGGCACGCAACGATAGTTTCCTCCTAAATGCATTGAAAACACTTTTTGGAATATCCAGAGTACTTTTAGATCGGCAGGAATACATTTCAAGTGGCACTACCAAATATTCATCTGTTCGGTCATCCTAAGACAACTTGACTTTACCGATGATTAGGAGATCATTATTATTTTGTCGAAAATTTTAGATGCTATCTTAAGTTTTAACAAGGTGAGAATTTTTCCGATTTATTCATATTTCCATTATACTTTCGAATCCGAAGAGGTTATTTTCCTTTTCCTGCGAACAATAGACTAAACGTGGGGAATAAAATGTGAAAACATGAATCAAGCTTCAGAAAATTGTAGGGATATAGTTATTATATATAGGTTCAAATGTCTGGAACAGACATCTTGAAAGCCGTTTGTTTCTCTTGACCTTGGTTCCATAAAGCACAAAACCTTAGCCTATTTCCGCTCCAAACAGTCTACACTCAATCTGCACTCAATTCCAGACCAAAAAGGGTACTTCTGTAAAAGGCGGGAAATTTGGCGCGAAACTCACGCACCGCTGTGGCTTTTGACTGGACGTGTCATTTTTCTCACACGTGAAAAATCATCGTTTGCGTTTCTGATTGGACGTATCATTTTTTTTCACGCGTGAAGAATATCGTTGGCTTCTCTGATTGGCTAGAACGTATTTGCCTATGAAAATTTACGACATAGCATTTTGGTGAGTGTGGTAATAATAGATAGCTTTCTGGGGGATGCTCCGAGGAGTAGCTCTCTTGCGTATCTCAGGTACTTTCTAACACTCTTAAGTGTTATTTCCAGGAATGGAATTGAGAGACTGGTCTGTATTACTGGAATTTACACTCAGAACGACCCAGGCAATCCCAGATGGATTACGATGCTTAGACCGTTTATGAGATCCTTTATTAACGACATGGTTTTGATGGAGAACACTGTTATGCAGTCGAATCTCATCTACACTATTATGAGGCCTCCGATCTTAACCAATGGTAAGTGCCTTTTTGACAAGCCTCCCATGCAGACGTTCTTGGTCTTGGTCACGCGTTCTTCTCCAACCAACATTTGTTGGGTAGAATAACGTGACGTCTACGTGGGAGGCTACCCTTTGACGTGATGTTTGTTTTTATTTGCGATATCTCTTCTTTAATGAATATTTAGAGAGGCTGTGTCACGGCTGTCTTGTTCAATTTGTTGATATTGCCGATGACGATTACTCGCTATATGGAACTTAGCGTTAGCGAAGAAATTACTTGTAAATGAGAAAATCACAACTTCGCGTCAAAGAAATATGTCTCCCAAACATCATATCAAGCGTTACAAACAACAAAAATGAACTTTGAAAAACTTTGTAAACCAACAAGTTTTTAAAAATCACATTGCAATCAAGTTGTCATCTGTGCCGTTTTGTGTACTTGCTGTGTTATTTATACCATCTTGTAAAGCTTTGAGCGGCTTTTTTCATGTTTCACTCAATTTGGTGATATTTTTTATCGTTTGAACTTTAAGAACTGACTTTTGTGACGCAGCTTTTTTAAATGAATAAAGATATAGATTATTAATGAACTGGGTAGATAACAATCTCATTCATTGGCCCTGGGTACCATAAAATATAGCGACTTGGTATTGAATTTCTGGGTAACTGATACGCTACTTTAGCATCAGCAAAAGGTGCGTTCGTATCAATAGAATTTCGGCTTAGAACACCTAAAACGTAACGAAAAGAGTTAACGCAACGTTTTGATGTTGCCACGACATCATCATCAAGTGACAAGATAAAAAAATTAGGCCGTGGTCATTCTTTAGGGGCTTTCCAATTGCCGAACAGTCGCGGATCCAGGGGAGAGAGGCCCGGAGGGCCCGGGACCCGTCCCCCTTATTTTTAGACCAAACTGAGGCCCGAAGGGCCGGAAATTTGGGAGACCTGGCCCCCCACTTATCTAAGGGTCTGGATCTGGCACTGCCGAATGACGATGTTAATCAATACGTTGATGATATTACTCCCTCAAAGGGGTCCTGTGATGTATATATGGTAAAATGACGAACCTTAAACCATGCAATAGTTTGTATTTTAAAGTAAAGAAAAGTTTCTTCATTTCTTCAGGAGCTGCAACTGATAATTACATGGTTGCCGAGGGCCAATTCGTACCAAAGGCTTCTTCGTCATTGTCGCGAGCAGATTTAGCTCATTTTATGTTGAAGTCGTTGCAGTCAAATGAATGGGACAAGAAGGGTATGGCGATTGCTGGTGGGAAATAAGACGATGTGTGTAAAACGTTAAGATACACTGTAGTATTGATGGAAAGAGGAAACGGCTAAAATGCGTTTTAAAAAAGTTAGTGGTTATAAACAGCCATACATTCACTTATTTAACAAACGAAGAAGTAAATGATAATTACAAAAAAGATGAAAATGGGCCAGTCCGAGTTCCAAAACCCCTTTTTTAAATTAGGCTAAATGCAAACCTTCCTTGTCATAATGACTTTTATTTGCGTGAGAATTTCATTGAAAACTTCGCTCATCCTACCCTTTTGCGAACGAGTCCTGAGAGCGTCTCTCGGAAATGGCCCATGAACTTGGCAAGACCTGAACATTAGCAGCAGCCGTAGACAGCAAGATAGCAAGATAGTTAGAAATACTTAAAGATGTCCAGTATACTCATTAGCTTTTGCGAGGCTTAAACGNGGAGACCTGGCCCCCCACTTATCTAAGGGTCTGGATCTGGCACTGCCGAATGACGATGTTAATCAATACGTTGATGATATTACTCCCTCAAAGGGGTCCTGTGATGTATATATGGTAAAATGACGAACCTTAAACCATGCAATAGTTTGTATTTTAAAGTAAAGAAAAGTTTCTTCATTTCTTCAGGAGCTGCAACTGATAATTACATGGTTGCCGAGGGCCAATTCGTACCAAAGGCTTCTTCGTCATTGTCGCGAGCAGATTTAGCTCATTTTATGTTGAAGTCGTTGCAGTCAAATGAATGGGACAAGAAGGGTATGGCGATTGCTGGTGGGAAATAAGACGATGTGTGTAAAACGTTAAGATACACTGTAGTATTGATGGAAAGAGGAAACGGCTAAAATGCGTTTTAAAAAAGTTAGTGGTTATAAACAGCCATACATTCACTTATTTAACAAACGAAGAAGTAAATGATAATTACAAAAAAGATGAAAATGGGCCAGTCCGAGTTCCAAAACCCCTTTTTTAAATTAGGCTAAATGCAAACCTTCCTTGTCATAATGACTTTTATTTGCGTGAGAATTTCATTGAAAACTTCGCTCATCCTACCCTTTTGCGAACGAGTCCTGAGAGCGTCTCTCGGAAATGGCCCATGAACTTGGCAAGACCTGAACATTAGCAGCAGCCGTAGACAGCAAGATAGCAAGATAGTTAGAAATACTTAAAGATGTCCAGTATACTCATTAGCTTTTGCGAGGCTTAAACGTACAGGACCCTAATCAAACTTGGCCGTGTCATATTTCTTGAATCCTGGTGTTTTGATACAATGACGTCTTGGAAAGTGAATTTAATAGGCCATTTCCGCTTTCCAAAAACTCTCACTTTCAAAACGAGGCTAAGTGCAAAACTTTTCTGGTGAAAATGAGTTTTATTTGCATGAGAATAAACAATCATTTTCATATCAATGGCTTTGCACTTAGCCTCGTTTTGAAACAGAGACCTAGGAAATGGCCTATTAGATGATGATGATGATGATGATGATGGTTGTTATCATACCTAAGAAAAGGACCGCAAACGAAAATGCTGCTCGTATACTTCATACTTACATACTTCAGCTATAACCCCCGCCCCGCCCTGTAGTCGGTGTATGGGATTAATGGAAACCACAATTTAATAAAAAGGATGTTTAAACGAAACAGCAACCAGTTGTTTATTCGAGCCCCAAACAATCAGACCTCATACGAGGTACTGACGCATTTTAATCAACAAAAAGCTAGCTAAAGGCAAGTTACTTTGCAGCTTTGCTGGGTAAGGAGCATATATAAGAAAAAGACCCGAATAAGGCCTAAATATATCATAGCTAGGCTCTTCTGCATTAAAAGTAAGAAACACAATGAAATGCTCCAAACTTGCCCAAAATATAGTCCGATGCTTGTCTATGTCCTCTGCTGCGGTGCTGTGCAAATAATACTGGGACGACACAAGTAATATCAAGCTCCCCATGATTTTTTTAATAAGTAAATATTGGTTCTTAATATGTCTAGAACTTATTTTTAGCAGTAATCTTGGTTATCCTGCTGTGGTGTTTACCTCTGGTTAAATAATTTTTACTAAGGCAATTGATATCCCACGGAGTAATAAATATGACATTTTGTTTTCTTACTTGATGATTGACCAAAAAACACTCAAACTTTAAGCGAGTTGCGGTTTTTAACAGCTAAAAATGAGAGCGAAACGCATGCATGCTGATGCAACATGGCAACTGAAAAAATTCGTGACACTCGATGTTGGAGAGGTTAGAGGTTGGACAGAATCTGTGCTCGAGAAAAATCCAGCTTACGCCAATGCATTTGAAACATTAACCCCCTTCAAAGTGATTTAAAATTCTCACTATTCGCACAGCACGGAGCTCTCATGAAATTGTTTACTGGAGGATGTCGTATTACACTAATACGAAGCAGCTTGTGCTTTTTGCGAGATCCAATTTCTACCAAATAAGGAAGATGACAGAAAATTGCCTTACAGAACTCAACACAAAAACACGATTGCGTGAAAATTGCAGTTTGCAAAGAAAGTGAAAAACCTCACTGTTGCCACTCTCTATTGTACTGAAAATCCAGATTATTGTTATCAGGACAAGCCCGGAGGAGGATCATTGTNGTTAAATAATTTTTACTAAGGCAATTGATATCCCACGGAGTAATAAATATGACATTTTGTTTTCTTACTTGATGATTGACCAAAAAACACTCAAACTTTAAGCGAGTTGCGGTTTTTAACAGCTAAAAATGAGAGCGAAACGCATGCATGCTGATGCAACATGGCAACTGAAAAAATTCGTGACACTCGATGTTGGAGAGGTTAGAGGTTGGACAGAATCTGTGCTCGAGAAAAATCCAGCTTACGCCAATGCATTTGAAACATTAACCCCCTTCAAAGTGATTTAAAATTCTCACTATGCGCACAGCACGGAGCTCTCATGAAATTGTTTGCTGGAGGATGTCGTATTACACTAATACGAAGCAGCTTGTGCTTTTTGCGAGATCCAATTTCTACCAAATAAGGAAGATGACAGAAAATTGCCTTACAGAAATCAACACAAAAACACGATTGCGTGAAAATTGCAGTTTGCAAAGAAAGTGAAAAACCTCACTGTTGCCACTCTCTATTGTACTGAAAATCCAGATTATTGTTATCAGGACAAGCCCGGAGGAGGATCATTGTCTTGTTATAATAGTTCATTAAAGCATTTCTTTTGTGTGAGTTCATTAAAGTGTGGTTTTAAATTAGAAAATATGCATTTTTGGAGTTCTTTTCAGGTTCACATGTAAATTACTTGGTAGTGATTTTTTAACATCGAAGCGTCTTATTTGCTATGTGTGCGTATTTTCAAGTCGAACTTTCTGAGACAAATTAACAAGCCTTATGAAATCTGATTCAAATTAAAACTCTCAGACAGGCATGACTTCCAGCAAGAGGTAAGTTTTAAAATATACGGTTTTCACGTGCTTACATTTTCGTGGGACGCCGTATTCGATCGTGTTTTCCTTCTCGTATAAAGAGCACCAATTCAACTGAATAGATCCATTTAAAGATACTTAATTTGGAGGAAACAGGCACTTTTAAAAAGGACACTTACTCTTCATAATGAAATGTAGCGTGAGTAAAGTTTCCATCATCCATAATTAAGTAAATATCAGTTGCGTAATTTGATTGAATTAATGTTATTCGAAGTAACCGGTTACTTCTACAAGTGTTATACTCGGATACGACTAGCCAGTCAGGAAACGTTGCAGGTAGCGTAGAATATTGTTTCCAAACACAGCGAGAACGTGGCATCATCGATTAACGTATTCCAAGAGTGTCATAGGTGAGCATTTGAAGTACTAAGTAAATATTGATGATTCGTAATTTTTTAAGCTGTAAACACGTTTGCAAAACTTGTTATCGCTTTTACTGATTAGCGGGGAGAAGACGTATTGTATGTAATTCTTTCTTTTCCGTGGTAGACTCCAAAAGAAAGAGCCAAAACCGGGCACAATTAAACCAAGTGATGGTTTGCACATGACATAAGGGTACGAGGAGCGTTTGCTTTCATTGCATAAAGGACAACATAAAATTTCGAAATATTGGACTCAATGTAAAGCCTTCTTCGCTAAAAAAAATGATCTTTTTCCGAATAGGAAGAAACGGTTTCAATTTAGAACTGACTGCGTTTATTGCACAACGTCCGACCGAGCTGACTGCGTCTCCGGCCTTTAGCTATAGAGTTCTGGTGGCTTAGCAATCCCGATAGGAGGCAAATGGAAAGGGGGATTTGATCTTTACGCAAAGCAACCTATTCAATACGACGTCTTATTTTATTTTTCGATTTTTTTTTGTAGAAGGCGAACATCAGTTGTTTGTTTAGCAAAGCAGGAATTAGAAAACCATTGCATGCAGTTTGCGTCAATCTAGTTGCTTCCATGAACAAAAACAAAAAGTACATTCTTCTATGATCGCTAGACTATGAAATTGCTGTCCTGATTAACTTTCACCCTTCAGTGGTTAAGTGAAAAAAAAAAAGAAAAACTTGTCACCACATACGCTGTGAAACGCACCATAGGAGAATCATCTCCATTTAATATGGCGTCGTATGCTAGAAGTATTCGTTAGAGCTTTCATTGGTTTGAACTGATGAAGGTTTAAACTCAGCCCGTTATTTTTCTAATTTTGTTTTTCTTTTCTGTTCCTATCGTCTTATTATACAAATCAGAAAGCTTGCAAATGTTGTATATTAAAATGAAATCGAGATTTGAATGGTATTCGCCAAGGTTTAAGTGTCAATTTTCTTTGTGTCCTGGCTCAATTATTATTATCATGGTTGTTATTATTATTATTATTATTATTATTATTATTATTATTATTATTATTATTATTATCATCATCATCATGAATAACGTGAATAATTTTCTTTGTCTAATAATACTTAAGGTATGATAAAACGGGCAACAAAAAAAGTGCAACATGTTTGGCGACTTTGCTGCAAAACGAGTTAAATATCGATGTCGCGCGTCTTACCACCCTCGGAAAAAACCTTGCAACCTTATTTGGCGCAAGACAGGTTCGAACGTGGGTGGTAATGGTAAGCAATATTGCAAAACAAGTCGCCATTTTTTGCTGCCCGTTTTACTGAAGCTTTGGGGATTGAAGGGACAAGAGAAAGTGATTCTCTTTTGCTAAGGACAAACCAGGACAGAAAGAAAAACAAAATATCAAACTAGTTTGCAACAGACCAGCTCTTGATTGAAGGCTTTTTAACCTGAATTTCATTAAGTTTTTGAACTACAACACAGACATTATCACTGTGTTTAACGCCGTTTGCGAGTCATTCTTTGCATTATTAAGTGGATTTAATTTTCGCGTACAGTTTGGTCGCCTGAGATAATAACGGGTTTGCTCGACGAAAAAATTTGACACCCTTAAATATTTTTTTATTTCTACCGCCTCTTGGAGAACAATATCACAAAACAAAAAAAAATAAGATGATTCTTTCGAAATAATCCCTGGTCATAAAAATTTCGGAAAGTTTAAAAGGGATCGTTCCAACTTTAATAGTTGTTATCCTAGAGTTTAGCACTCGAAGTGGTACACACATAGTTTAGCCCTTAAACTGAACAAAGGCCACCGCTGTCATTTTATCCGGGTGTTCTTCCAGGGTCATAACATATGAGAACTAAGCAATACATTCATTAGTTTTCCAACTGTTACGTAACACCCCCTATTTGCTTTTTTCAAACAAATGTTTTTCTTACTTACTTATAATCCTAAGCGGCGGAGCTGGGGGAGTGGGCAGGGGTTCCGTNCCAGGACAGAAAGAAAAACAAAATATCAAACTAGTTTGCAACAGACCAGCTCTTGATTGAAGGCTTTTTAACCTGAATTTCATTAAGTTTTTGAACTACAACACAGACATTATCACTGTGTTTAACGCCGTTTGCGAGTCATTCTTTGCATTATTAAGTGGATTTAATTTTCGCGTACAGTTTGGTCGCCTGAGATAATAACGGGTTTGCTCGACGAAAAAATTTGACACCCTTAAATATTTTTTTATTTCTACCGCCTCTTGGAGAACAATATCACAAAACAAAAAAAAATAAGATGATTCTTTCGAAATAATCCCTGGTCATAAAAATTTCGGAAAGTTTAAAAGGGATCGTTCCAACTTTAATAGTTGTTATCCTAGAGTTTAGCACTCGAAGTGGTACACACATAGTTTAGCCCTTAAACTGAACAAAGGCCACCGCTGCCATTTTATCCGGGTGTTCTTCCAGGGTCATAACATATGAGAACTAAGCAATACATTCATTAGTTTTCCAACTGTTACGTAACACCCCCTATTTGCTTTTTTCAAACAAATGTTTTTCTTACTTACTTATAATCCTAAGCGGCGGAGCTGGGGGAGTGGGCAGGGGTTCCGTTGCTCCCCGCAACACAAATATGGAGGGGCAGAGCCTCCACGTTTCGGTACAGAAAAACACTTTTACGGAGGTATTTGACAATACCGGTGACATGGGTGACTTCAGAGCGCACATTTTCTGCCCTCAGACGACTCAAGAACCACCTAAGAAGCAGCACCATGAAGCAGGACCTGAACAACTGACTACGGACCCACTAGATACTGTGAAGATTGCAAAGAGGTTTGCATTTTGGAAATTCTGAGTAATGGTATGCATATGGCGGAGTGGAAGATGAGTCCCCTCCCCCGCCTCCCCCACTTACGTTTCAAAACGCTCCGCCGCCTCTGTTGATGAATATGATAATCATATCAACTGCGACTATCATATCTTTATTTAAATTACTTAGAATAACTTACTTACGTATCCACTTAATATTCTTACTTACTTACATGTATTAACTTACTGAGGAATGAAAACGTGATCTTATTTCTTGCCTCTTGAAAGAACTAAAGGTGTTCTTGTCGCCCAACACGCAGTGTTTGACTGATGCACTCCTTGGCTTGAGTTTTTATCTTTTCATGACGATCGCTTGCTTTGTTTAACTTATTAAAATGTAATTTGGTTTTTCACACAGCGACACGAAGAAACTGTACGAAGAGTTAAGAGAGAAGTTATCGAATTTAAGCCGCACAATTAAGAACCTCGAAACAAGAGCATCCAAACCGAATTTCTCTACAGACGAACTTGCTTATCACGTGAGTATTGATTGCTTCTCGAATGTATTTAATAAGATTTGTCCTCTTACACACGTGACATGCCTCATGTGCCTCATACCTCATGCACAATTGTTATTTTAACATCCAGAGTGCATGCTCCGTTGTACAAACATGAAGGGTGAATGGTAGATCTAAATATTTGCACATGCTGTAGGATAAATTATTTTTATTAAAATGAAGGCTGTTCTATGATGTATTTGCTTCCACAATTCTATCTGACACTCATTTAAGGTGAGTCTGGGGGGAAAGGAGCCTCCCTAAGAGTAATTCATTGGAGAGTGAGGAGTAGAGCTCACTGAAACAAAAACGGAAGTCTTGAGTGTTTATTTTTCAGATCCGAAAAGTTGCCTCTGCTAAGACTTACAAAAGTGACCAGCGGGAGGAAAATGACGATCTTGGTGTGAGAAATATTCAAGATGCACGGACAAAACTTGAAAGGTAACTCATACATCCTCCTATTAGAGGAGTGGTTTTCGTTTGAGTGTCGTAAAACCAAAACCAAAGTAATTACTCTGGCCAGTGACATAGGACACAGACAGTACATTGAACCAATCAAAACTCGAAGTAATTACATGTGGCTGACGCAAAGCGCGGGAAAATGCATGCGAGCGCGTCACAATTGGCTTTGGTTTTACTTCTGATTGGATGAAAAGGTGGCGCGAATCTTTTAAGCCAATCGCATCGTGTAGAAAGTGCAAAACCAATTACTTTTCGACACTCAAATGAAAACCGCTCTAGTAGTCCAAAGCTTCTTCGTTTGTTCTTTATAAGTATTTATAATTAGAATCGGAACATAGGAAATCTAAGCACTCATCAAGAAGTTTACGTTTACTATGATTTGATTCATTGAACGCTAGCGCTTAAGAAACACACTTTTAAGAAATTTGAGATCTTTAGATGGAGGTTACATTAAATATATCTATTTCCTTCAGGGCACTGGAAACACTGCGAGAATTAAAGAAACAGCAAAACGGCAGAGAATCTAAGATTCAAGGAGCTGCTGTGGGCAGGAGGAGGAAATCGAAACGATGCTTTCAGTTTGAAAAAATTGACGGCGATGTTACAAATTACATGGTAATTCCTGGCAACACCATTAACCCATACGAGCATTTACAAATTTAATAAGGAGTAACGAAGTTAGTAGGAAAATAATGTTAAACGTTATCCAATCTCAGCTTAATCTCCAATCTCAGCTTAATTCCTATTAATTCCACAGCTGTCGAGAGTAAAAGTCAATATTTGTGCTATTCACGGCTTTATTATGCTCACAAAAGAGCTACATGTTTCTTTGTGGCTACACTTGGCAAAACATCCTTAATTTTTACAAATTTAACATGAAGAAACCAACACAACAGCTGACAAATTCCAAGTAAAGAATAAAAATGTTCAGTTTGGATGGTGTTTTGAATTAACTCAGTCGATGCCCTGAGACAATGCCTGTACTAATTCACAAAATGTGGCAGGTACAGTCAACATTTTGCTTTGTTTGCTTTTCCGTCTTTATATAGACCTTAATTGGAGACATATTAACTGAAGTGGAGCAGGCAAATCAAGTCAAAAAATTTGGAAAATCAAGTTTACAAGAAGGAAAGATTCCCAGAAATAAAGAGGAGAAAACGAGACAAGAACTAGAGGCATTTAGCTCTCGTTGGAATGGACTCGGTGAGGAAGTTCTCAAGACAACCAACAGGTAAGAGAACGTAAAGTCTATCTTTACTGAAACACAGCACATGCTGTGTCCCTTGGAAGTTCATGTCCATTGGAAGTCCGGTTCCTTTATGTAGTATTATGTTGAAAAAAGGAGAGAGCTCGATAAAGGAGAGCTCGAGGATATAAAATTGTGAAACGCAACTAAACGTAACTGGACCAAGATCATATGTCTTGGCACAAAAAATTTAAAGGCCAGGTTTACACATGAGAGAATGAGCTTATCCTCTCTTGGTTTACACTTGAGTGTTCTTTTTAGGATTTTGTCAATGTGTCCGGATATATTTAGGGTATTCGGATTTTGCAGGCGTTCACACACATCCTTTAATTCCAGAGTATCCATCCATCGTTTAAATTACATCTGTTTGTCCTGATCAAGAGGGGGTTGTCCAGATACCAAGTATTGGTTTTGAGTTCCAGGATTCAACATCTCCAGACACGCGACCAAACCCGGATTCAAGCATTTACGTCGTGTAAATGGCAGAAAGCAAACTTTCCAAAACACCTTCCTCCTCCTACTCTTCCTCCTCCTCATCATTATCATCATCATAATTATCATATCCTTTATTTTGACGCGATAAAACTCAAAGCTCAATGTTTGTGGAGTCGTGTAAAATAAGCTGCAATAGAACAACAATAGAAATAAGAATAAAATTAGTTACAATACACACTTACAAAAAATCTCTCGTGTGAACCTGGCCGCCTAACTTCCATCGATTCTGATACCCTGCTTTGAAAAACCAATTTTTTTTTACAGCATTGAGACGTTTGTATCAGAGGTAGAAACGGAATACTCCAAGCTAAAGCTGTGGATAAGTAATTCGGAGATCGCAGATTCGTGGCTGATGGAATACGAACCCTATGCTGATAAACCGGAGAAACTCGGAACGACCATTCGATTAGTGAGGATACAGCTTCATGAGAATCAGGTAAGTACTGCAGCTTAGATATATGTTGTAGATAGATATTTCATCGCACGTGATCCAAAAGTGAGATTATTTCGTTAGGGTCCACGTAACTCTTCCCCACATTCCTGTAGACAAATGCATCAACTCGAGGGTTTGGGTGGCAAAATATAGTGCTTTGTGTGTAATTGTCCACCCACGCCTCGGCCTCGCCTTATGGTGAGGGCTCACTGGAGCGGAATGCTGTGAAGGTTTTCCGATGGATATTTTTCTTCAGAAGTTTAAAAAAATCATTAGTCAAAAGGTGATAGAACATCATTGTCTTGTGAGCTGCACCACTGACAAAAATTGGTTTTGCTTTCTCATTTTAGACCGTCTTGGAAAACTTCAGAAAATCGAAACCCAGATTGCGTCACATGTACGACACTGCAGTTGAACTCATGAAGAGCGGTCGGGTGGACGAGGCAGATGTCGATGAATTAGAGCGCGTCATCAATGTTCTTGTAGCAAAATGGGAGTCGATTGACAACCGGTTGAATGCAAGTCGGGATCGGTAAGACCTTAGAAGTTTGTTTAAATTATCGTTTAGCTCACTGGTTTTGAATATGCTTACTTAAAACGTCAGAAGTAGAGCACATACCTGAAGTTTGATCCTTTCCGAGCCATTTTACAATTATCAACATCTAATTCTGAGCGAGAAATGACAAACAACGCAAAAGGCTCAACTTTGCTTGACGGCAAGTGTTTTGTTCTGAAATGAAACTTCAACTTTTGTCTATATTAACAAACTATCCGCTTAATTATATCACCTGAATGACAACTAATAATCGTGAAGGAAACTACTAATTACTTGCTCTTTTTGATGGAAAACGGTGATCTTTTTTGAGTTTGTTGTTGGTTCTCTCCTTTGCTCCGAGTGGTTTTTCTCCGGGTACTCCAGTTTTCCCCTCTCCTTGAAAACCAACACTTCCAAATTCCAATTCGATCCGGAACGCACTTATACGTTTTAGCGAGTGCTTTAGCATTTCTAAGTGCTCCGTGGGTAAACCAATCATAATTACAATTTACACATTTTCTTGTTAGGATTTACGCTGAAATCGAAAAGCTAAGAAAGAGAAAGGCAAAGCAACGGCCCTCTATCGTTCGGAGATTTAGCTCTAGAAGAAATTTATCTTTTCGAAGAAACAGATCCCTGAGAAAGAAACGTGAGGGTGAACAGGATAAGGAGGTGGTGCCCAAGGTAATAAACTTTAACATTGTTTTTTAGTTGCAGTTAAGGCAGGGATCTATTGCCTGAAGGAAGTTTAGAGCAGTCGATTTTGCGCAATATGCTGGTGCAATGGTTTTTATTTAGGTTCACTATACACAAAGTGACACCACCTCACGTGATATTTTCTGTTTTCCCATGTGTTCTTTCTAGTGTAGTTCCTTTGTCGTAACACCACTGCATGTGATCAGGTTAGGTTAAATTCCATAATAGTGAATAAATTTTGTTCCTCGAAGAAATATATATTTATCAAGAGGCTCAGTGTTTCTTAGGAGTACCAATGTTAAGCTTTGACTCAGCTGGATTTTGTCGAAAGATGAAAAAGCAGACACATAACTCGTTCGTAACTCGGGTGGCCTTCGTTAGTTTGAGATAAAGTCGGAAATTCGGCGTTAGAAATATCAAGTACATACTCATTATTGCAGAGATAGACAGTAGTGTAGTTGTAGTTTTCTTTCAACGATCACACCATTGCTCTAATTACTGTGTTTTCTACAGGGTGCTCAGTCTTATAAAGTGTACGTTGACGAGCAAGATAACTTACCCACGCCGGAAGTCGTTACCAGCACGAGCTCCATGAATGTAAATGCCTCAATGGATCCCGTGCACATTCTTATGATGAAAAACAGACAACCCGTGGAAGAAAAACTGAGGTATGTTGAAAGAAAAAAGTCCAGATGTTACAACCAAAATAGAATTTTTTCTTCTTCCACGATCAACTGCTGGGAGAGGCGGCACATCACGCCAGAGAGATTATGGAGGAATGGAAAACTTTACTTTAGGAGATGAATCGACTAGCTAGCCTGAAAAGGAAAAACACCCATTCTCACATATGGGACTATTTTAAGTAAATTACGTTACCATGTATGAAATTTGTGTCCTTTAATTTGGCTGTTTCACATTTTTCACGGCTTTCGAAACGTAGGCAGAATTTGTAATTTGCGGGTTTTGCTCCATCTCGGTGACAGTAGAAAAATTGGGTAAGAAATGACTATTTTTTCTGGAGTAAGAGTTCTTTGAAAGCTTTTTCAGTCCTTATCAAGGACTGGAATTGTAACAGACTTAAATAATATAATTGAAGGCACTTTTGTTACTATTGACCAATATCCTTCCAGGTTGCAGAATCAAAGGAAAGCTTTCCAAACCTTTGCCCTAACTCTCGAGGCATGTGAAAAGACCATTCAGGATCTCCACTCGAAATCGCTGGAGAAATTCTCAAATATTGACTCAAACGCGGAAGAGATTCAAAAACAACTTGATGACATGTCGGTGAGTAGCTATTTGGCGTTTGTCCTCGCGGTTGTACTATACAAGGTGGGTGATCAAAAGCTCTGAAACCCTAACTCTCCTGTTTTAGACCACAATATATGATTTTCCCAACTTTTGGTCAGACCAAAATATGTGATTTTCCCTACTATATTTCAGACCAAAATATGTGATTTTCCCTACTCTATTTCAAACCTGAAGCAACATTTTCAACGAAACTGATCAAGCAACATGGCCATTTCCAGACCCTCTTTCCTGTGCAACAAACCTCAGCCTATTGGAGATATACTGAAAGCTGTACCCAATTGAAGACCAAAAGGACTTTAAAAAAAATACCCCTGCGTTGGGACTGCACATACCCACAGTGTATGCAGCTCATTAAGGGAGAATTCCCTCCCCGGGTCTTTGACACACTAATGTTTTCCGCACCAGTCTCTGTTAATCCTAAAACGAAGAAAGCCGGGTTGTTTAAAAATGGAAACCTTTCATCTTAGAGGTACTTCGGCATGCAGTCATATTATATCTGGAGAAATTAGACTTTACATGCCTCTTTGGGCCTAGGAGGGTTTCGCAATTCTGCATAAGTAGTTTATTAGTGTAGGGATTTATCCTAATACAAATGCTATATTTCAACAGAGGCTTGAAACAGATTTAAAGAATTCGAAGTCTGAATTTCAATCAGAAATAGAGCGATTCGAGAAAACCAAGGGAGAAGGATTGTTTAGTGACAAAGACCAAGCAATTCTTGAAGAGAGGGTGAAGAATCTGCAATCTCGCTGGAGAAAATTGTGGGAGGAACACATAGCAAACAAGAATCGGTAAGACATAAAAAACAATCGTGAGTGACAATGGATATAAAAACAAAACAGTAATAATGATGATGAACATGATGATGATAATGACGATGATAATAAAATAATACCAGTAATAATGATTATAAGTAGAATCGCTTACCTTATAATCATACTCCAAGTAGTTTTCGAAAATTCTGCCTTTTACACTTAAATGTCAACTCAGTTACCTTTTTCGCAACCAAAATTTCCCATTAATTGTAAAATCATTGTATAGTTAAGGCTCATTTTCGTTTGCTTTGACATCATTTTTGCTAAGATTATCGAAGAATGGAGATCACTGCTGTTATAGCCATTCCCTTCCCTCCTGGGTACTTCGCCATATTTTATTTACTCAATATTATTCATCAACATGTGACTGATTAAACTCTGTAATAAATCTTCATCTAACAGGTTGGAAAAACAAAGGGATGCCTTCAAAACTTTTGACTTGTCTTTGAAGAAACAAGAAAATACAATTAACGATCTCGACACGGAAGCGCTCCGGAAATTTTCAGCTGCTGGTTCAAATAGACACGAACTTGAAAAGCAACTAGATGACATTATGGTAAGTAGTAAAAATACATGATTGGTATTCTTTGACTAAATCTTTCACCTAAGTTCATGAGGGTAACAATGACGGAATGATCTATTGAGAAAGTCTGGCGGTATGGGAGAGGTGGAAGCATGCTGCCCTCTACAGAACTTTATAGTCTCCTAAATAAAGCCATCATTTTCCGAGTAATTCGAGTATTCTCGAAGAGTGATCTCCTTGAATAAATAGAAATGATACCGTTATTCCAGGAATTCAAGTTTCGCTACAACGAAACTTCTTTGTATGAAAAAGCAACGTTATTGACAAGTATGTGGAAGGTACATTAGATTGATTTGTTGTCACATTTTGTAAAGGATGTCTAAAAGACATTGACGAGATAAGCCGTTAGATATGCTCTATTTTCTGTTTTATTTCTTCCAGCAATTTGAGTCTGATCTAAGGAAAAAGAGATTTGAGTTTCAATCCGAAGTGGACAAATTTGAAAAGGCTAAAATTGAAGGCCTGTTTAACGACACTGACAGAAAGATCCTTGAAAAGAGAGTGGAAAATTTGCAGAATCGATGGGACGAACTGTGGAAAGAACACATCTCCAATAAGAATCGGTAGGAAATCTTCATCTAACAGGTTGGAAAAACAAAGGGATGCCTTCAAAACTTTTGACTTGTCTTTGAAGAAACAAGAAAATACAATTAACGATCTCGACACGGAAGCGCTCCAGAAATTTTCAGCTGCTGGTTCAAATAGACGCGAACTTGAAAAGCAACTAGATGACATTATGGTAAGTAGTAAAAATACATGATTGGTATTCGTTGACTAAATCTTTCACCTAAGTTCATGAGGGTAACAATGACGGAATGATCTATTGAGAAAGTCTGGGGGTATGGGAGAGGTGGGAACATGCTGCCCTCTACAGAACTTTATAGTCTCCTAAATAAAGCCATCATTTTCCGAGTAATTCGAGTATTCTCGAAGAGTGATCTCCTTGAATCAATAGAAATGATACCGTTATTCCAAGAATTTAAGTTTCGCTACAACGAAACTTCTTTGTATGAAAAAGCAACGTTATTAACAAGTATGTGGAAGGTACATTAGATTGATTTGTTGCCACATTTTGTAAAGGATGTCTAAAAGACATTGACTGGATAAGCCGTTATATATGTTCTATTTTCTGTTTTATTTCTTCCAGCAATTTGAGTCTGATCTAAGGAGAAAGAGATTTGAGTTTCAATCCGAAGTGGACAAATTTGAAAAGGCTAAAACTGAAGGCCTGTTTAACGACACTGACAGAAAGATCCTTGAAAAGAGAGTGGAAAATTTGCAGAATCGATGGGACGAACTGTGGAAAGAACACATCTCCAATAAGAATCGGTAGGAAATTAGCTTAAACCTGCTTTAAGTATTTATTAATAACTTCAGACAGGTACAGGGGAAGGTGTGAACTTTCCCTTAGGGCGTTCAAGTTGACACAAGTTATTTAAAAATCTGGCTAACGACAAATGCAAGAGACCCACTAGTTTCTCTATGGCTTTGTAAGCCGTTTGTGCAGTGCATTTATGCAAAATTCAAGCGTCAATAGGTCCCAGGTCTTAATTAAGTTAATTCCTTGAAAGGACTGTTAACACTGCTAACATTCCCAGAACCTGCAAGGATGTCATTTTGAAGTGAAAAAGTAAAATATTTGTAGACTTGTAGTAAAAAGTAGTAATATTGTTTTTATAATAATAATTATAATTTGATTGAAAATATAGAAATTTCAGTGTTCTTACATAGTTTAAAGAATAGCACAAAATTGATTATTTTGCGAGTTTCGAGAGAGTTCATTGGCACTTGATCACAAGCACAATTTTATTTGTGTTTATGATTCAGTAATGATTGTTGTGTTTCATCACAGTATCGTAAAGGCCACCTTGGAGCATGCCCACAACTCGATGAAGACTATTACTGAAGATTTTGATAAAATCGAGAAACAAATGAATACGCCTGAAGTCTATGACGATGATGACCGTCTTTCCTTGAAAGAAAATGTTCTAAAACAGAAGGTAAGATTATACCTTGGAATGCCGGCCGGATTTGGTGATCGAAATTGTGTAGAACTGACATGTAACCAATCTTTTTGTCCTTTTGCGAGGCTAAAGGAGCTGACACTTTTGATACTAAAGAGACGCTTTCCATTGAACCCAAAATTCCGGAAATTTTGGTCAGAAATCAAATGGAATTAACCATTTCGATTCGGTCCCACGGGAATATTTGACCGGTGCGGTCATTTCGGTTGGTCGGTCGGACCGAAATGTCCCTTTTCATTTGACGAAATGGTTGTCTTTAGTACCGCTCTTCTTTTATCTCACGTACAAGCACAATGACCAAACGTGCGGTGGCTTGGGTCAACAACTGGAATGTACCGTTCCATTCCCAAAATTTCAAAGCGGAATGTTTTTAAGTGGAAAGTGTCCAATTTCTCTTGTTATGTCTATTTAAGTTGGAACATTCTTGAAGGTAGTCTTTTGGCGATTTACCTGCTGAACATTTACTCCTTTGACTGAACTGTTAAATCCTTCTCTTTGCAATAATAAGTAATTTCAATAATTACAATGTACGTTTACTTAAGCGCCCAAAAACGTAGACACAATGTGACTAACCCAAAGCCTTTGTCCGTCAGAGACTCATAGAGGATTTGGACCAGTACGATGACCCAATAAACAAAGTGAGTCACATAGCAGACAAACTGTTGGAAAAAAATTTGGTCGACGATCAGACGTGTACTTTCATCAAAAGGAAAACAGTTGCTCTCATTGAAAGACAACAACAGCTGAAAAACAGTTGCAAGGAAAGTGGAGACAGGTTAGCTATTCCATGAAGCAATACGACAGCGTAAACCGATTAATGGATAAACTGGTTGATATATGCTTCGCGATAATTGGCGTTTTGTTCTCGTGACAACTTTACACTCATGAAATCGTTTGCGTAAACTGTTTGCTGGACCAAAATGACCCCTTTTTCTTCAATGTTCCGACGCTTTCACCTCGTATTCATAATTACATATTTAAAGCAATGGCTCATGTATTAGGTGCAGAAGAAGTGATTTTATTTAGCGAGGGTAGCATAATCTATGATAATATCAACAACTGATTACCTACTGGCCCTCGAAAAAGATGTCAACCTGGAATTATTCCTATTTCGCGCCTGATCATTTTCAACGGTAGATTTCTCAAAAAGCTCTTTGTTTCAATGACTGTCCATTCCATTTTGGGCAATCTAATTGTATTGACGACGTAGCTGTTACTATTTAGTGACATAAATCGTAGGAGAATGGGACGCCCCGTTTTCATGCCCGTCACCTTTTACCTTTGAAGGTTTGAAATGGAGCTTCAGCTATATGATCAACAACGTAGTGGGTCACCATCAGAGGTGGAAGAAGAAACTGTCCAGATTAGTGATGATTACGCCATGCTCTCTCAGTCTCTTGACGATATTCTTGCTGATGAAGGATTTGCGGAAATGGATTCGTCCAAGGTACTTGCAGCTTTAAAATTCGTGCTTTGAAACCTTTTCTTTTTCACGTTTGGCAGAATGGGTCATAGTAAATGCCTTGCGTGAAAATATTGCTTCCATAAACCTTATCGTAACCGATGCTCATATAATTGTTTTTTCTTCAGCGGAACATCAGTGTCCCTTCAGCCAGGGACCTTCAGATGACATAATATCAAATGAAGCGTGATAAAAATTTCAGGGCGATATTCATGCTTAATGCATTATAAGGTTTCAAATAATGAGATTCCAACAAAACGAGATCAAGAAAGTTTCTAGTATAGAACTTGGAAGAAGCAAGTAAATCATTGATAGCAGCTTTTTGATACGGCTATGGGGCTGTATCACACGGCTGTATATGCTCTTCATCGATTCAAATGACATTACTACTGATTCAGCTTAACTAGACCTGAATTCAAGGACTGATGCTCCTTTTGTGATACTCAGTTATAGCCAAGTACAATAAATCCATATTCTCGCATCATAGACTTTATTTGACTGTCTGACTAGTGTCAGAGAGTCGTTTCAAAAAACAAGAAGAACAACAACAATTTTATTCCACAAAGGTACCTACAGTAATTACACACTCAGTTAATTAATCACGGGTATAAGAAATCGGAAAAAACTTTCCCACCGCAAATAGCATTAAAGGCTAATCGAGGCGGGGGAAAGATGAAGACAAACTTAAGGTAATAAAATAAGACAAAACTGTTTGCAGAAAACTGAGATAGCCATACAATAAGGATAAATAAGAATTAAAGTTAAATTGAAAAAATTTAGATCCAAAAAAAAAAGATAAATGAATAAACAAAATAAAAATAGTTATTTTGCGTTCCAAGGCTGAGATAAATTGCTAAAGTAATTGAGCAATTGAGAGACTTCAATGTAGTCATTCACAAGCTCTAAAGTTTCAAGAAGTATTTGTTCAGTGTTGATTCGGAGCCGGGATTTCAACGAACGAGCTAGTCAATACGTATTTTTGCTAAACATTATTTGATTATCAGTGATTTTTTCTATTTTCTGTAAGTCGTTCCTGGATGTGAAGACGACCAATTTTGATAGAGAGGTGCAGTTAATGAACCAGTGGATGACTGACTCTCAAAAGTTAGTGAATTCATTGCACGTGGAAATGGATCCGAAGGAAGTGACAGGGACAGTGCAGCAAATTAAGGTTGGATTGCTTTGCACATCAATTTCAAAAAAAGGTTTAAGACCTTGGAAACCGTTTGTATTCTTTATGTAAGGTCAGATAAATTTTTACACAGTTATACTTATCACTTGAAAAGTTGTTGCCATGGAGTTCCATTGGCTGGGTGCCAGATTTCGTATCGGTAGGTCTGGGTTCGATTTCCGATCTATCAACCCCTCGAGGTCTTATAAAAACGTAAGTGAGTAGAATGTGATGTTTCTGTTTTCACTTGGAAAAATGGTCCGTTAGCCATCCAGGTGGTCTTCTCGAATAAGGAAAAAAGTAGTATGTCTTGTCCCACAACTCTTTTCTGATGTGACACTTGTGTTAGATAAAGGATGGGAACCACTACAGACGCAACAGTCTGTTGCAGTGACTACCCCGAGGGCTAGCGTCTATCTCTCCTGGGTTGTAGGATTGGGAAGGGAGGTGTGCATCACTGTTAGGCAGGTCTACACTCCCTAAGACTGATAAGAGTTACATATAGAATGCAGTGACTCAAAATGAATCATACCCTTGACTCTATGATGTCACTCCTATTTAAGTTATCGAGACGTCAAGTCTCTGGCCTGTTGCACTGGTATAAGGTATGAACCACAATTTCTGTATAACGGTAAACGCAACGCTTCGGTCTGGGTGGAGCTTTCACTTGATAAGACAGTGCAGTCGTTCTATCCCTCGCAAGGATAATTCCTCTGGTCTCTGACAGTTTCTGACCGGTTGTTCTTACATGAGGTAAACAGCCTTTCATTCTCCTGGAAGATGAACGTAACAGTAGCAAAGTTTGCCACCATGAAGGCTGTTGACGTTGCTGAAGCGCCAGGCAGGCGCTGGCGGAATAGAAAGGAATCATCAAGATAACATTAAGACAAAAATTTGTGTTTTCTTTAGGCTCGTTATGAAGAGATAGAGAAGAAAGAAGCTACGATGGAAGCAATCAATAAACTTGGTCAGGAAATAACGAAAGAGTCGTTAAACATGACCACTACGGAAACAGTTGAAAAGAAACTAGAAGCACTGAACATAAGGTGGCGAGAGACCAGGGAGATGTTGAAGGACTTCTGCAAAAAGGGCGATGAAGACGCTGCAGAATATCAAGGCTGTTGTTGTTCACGAGTAATCACTAAAATGTTTCATGCTTGTTTTTATAGTTAATAAGTGCAGCTTACCTCAAGCAGTATACGTGTGAAAACATTATCTTTCGGATGGCCAACAGTTGTAGAAAAGAAACTGGTCATGATTCCAATGGCCACGGACGTTTTCAAAGTGTGAATGAACTTGCGCCCAGGATCAGTGATGTTTTAAACAGATCTGATACTCAACAATTCCATCATTCCTGGAGAAAAAAATCCTGAACAAATAGTTTGAATCAAACATAACAGAGTTAAGAATCCCAACTGGCTAGAGGCAAACCAGTTGGCTATTTACAAGCATGGTCGAGGATTTGAACTCGGGACGACCGTGAACAAATTTATGCAGCTGGCGGTCAGCGCGGGACTTGAACTTGGGGCCTCCGAATTGCAAGTCCAGCGCCCTAACCACGAGGCCACGCTGCCTCCAGACAAAGCGAGCTGGATCCTTTTGAACATCTCCCGAATCTTTATATGAATTTGGATATTGTTAGATAAGGTTTAAATATTTAAAAGTGGGGTACGTTTGGGCCCGTTCGAAGCGACTGCAACACCTTCCAACAAATTTGGACGGCATTGGAATAACATGACAGATTCCTTCAAACGAGGACATGCAGAAAGGGAGGACTTAATGTACCTCTGCCGAACCTTTATACCTGTATAAATGCCGTTACCAAATTGTCCGTGCTACATACGTTTTAATAAGCAAAGGTTTAGTTATACAAAAACAAGTAAAAAACAACGCGTGCAAGAGATGACGAAAGTTCGGTGTCATCTTGACGCCATTTTCAAATTCAAAATACTTACTGATAAACTTTTTTCACGGTTTATCAGCAAGCATTTTCACCTTGAAAATGGTGTCAAGATGACACCGAAACGTCTTTCTTTCTTGCAGGAGTTGTTTTTACTTGTTTTTTTTTTGGCATAGGTTTTGTCTTGTAAAAAGATTATGTTATAGACATGTGTGAATTATTTTTATACTCTCTATTCTAAGTGAATAGCTACTTTTAACCCTTGGACTCCCAAGATTTGATTAGTAACTCTCCCTTCTGGCTGCTATAGATTTTATTGTACATTGTTGGTCAAATAATTTGGGTTTATATCAAAAGTGCATCCTCTAGCTGATACTGTTGCCTTTCCTTATCACCTTCCTCCTGAACAATGTAATGATATTATAAAAGGAGAAGTTAGATGCTAATCACTTCTGCGAGTTAAAGGGTTAAAGGGTCATATCTGTCATTTTCTTCGTCCAAAAATTGTACTGAATCGTGAAGATTTGTTTTAGAATGAGGGATGTCTGATAGATCCAATAGTTTACTTTTCTAGATGTCCGTTTGAAATTAAAGCAAAGATAGAATCGACAACGCAAAATAAGGAAAAATAAATGGTAAATGTGAAAAGGCGTAAAAGTTATAACTTTGTACTAGCGCTATATTTACGATCCCGAATGTTCACGATATATGAACATTTGTTTCGCATCAGCAGAGTGTATGAAGAGCGGTTTCATTCACGTGGCCAGCATCTATGCTTATTTATTGAAACAAAAGAAAGGAAAGAGTTCAGGATTTTCTTAGTACACCAGCATGGCCACCGTTGCGTAAAGTGAAACGCTGCGCTCTATAGCAAACAAAATGCTCCAAAGCATCATCCTAAATAAAAAGAGCTGCTATATTTTTTCAAATGGGAAGGAGTAATTTCAAAACACCAGCAAGCAATGGTCATGAGAGACTCTTTGGAGGTTACACTCATGCAGACATTTTAAATATAACTTTGGTTGTTCACCTCGCGATCGTTTCCAAAACCTATCGCGAGAATAGCTCGCCCCTTGCTGACTTCGTATAACAGAATCACCAAGCTGAATGGCTTTCAATAAGGAATCATCAGTTTTGACAACAAATCGAGTTTGTCATGCCAGACATTCACCGGATTAGACGCGCGCAGTTTAAGAAGGGCGAGAACGAGAAACATCTTCGCTGGAGGCAGATGTTCTTCTGTTTCATTAACAGATATCTACATGCAGGCTGAATAAATTGCTTTCCAAAATTTAATATCACTATAAAGCCGAAAGTACTACCGTTCACATAAGAATCATAAAAAACCTTGCTAGTTTCCTACCTATCACAATTAAAAAAGACAGTCGTAATTACCACATCTTTATTAAAACATGGAGAATATCTTATAAAACAATAAACGAATAAAATGTAAGAACGCAGCTGCACAAGAGTAAAATTAAAGCTACAGTCCTCCTTCAGGAATGAAAACAATTTGACTTCGTTTCTTAGTTTTCACACAGGAGAAAGTACTGCATAAAAACAATTGGGCCGACCAGTCGGCTGCTGTGCGAACCGAGACCTCCAGTTCGTTAAAATACAATCAAAATAGCTAGTTTTGCCAACAAGCCAAGCCTATTTTAATTAAAACATATTTATTTTCACTCGTAGTTTTCCTATGTTTAGATCATATTTACAAACACTGTCAGTTTTAATAGAAGCGAATTGCGCGAAGTTCCTGTTTAAAAGAAGACATTGTCCGAGAGTAATTATATCCTTCGAAAGTAACAGGTTTCCTTCTGGGATTATTTACTCTCTTTTTTTCAACAACAACAGAAAAAGAATAACGAAAAAAAGAAACTCTAAATAGAAAGACCGTTGTTTTAAACAATCCCTATGCAGGTGGCGGTCTAATTTTTCATGGGAACTGGCAAAAAATTTAGCTTACTTTTATAAGTAACCTGGTAAAATTTTGTCTAAAAGATATAAATTTGCTTCAAATATCAATACGTAGAGATATACGCAGCAGTCGCTGAGTTAAAGTTCCCTTTAACTGCTCGAGAAACAGTGAAAGAGATGAATTTTTCTTCAAATTTCAGCTATATGAGTTTATACGATATCAACTACTTTTACTGTGACGAAAGAGAGATATCAACCACAGCAAAAATCGGTTTCTTGGTCTCCTACCCTTTCATCATGTTCATCAGTTTGGTTGGAAACTTCTTGATAATTCTTATCGTGTTTACGCACAAAGAATTGATGAAAACGACCAGTTGGCTCATTGTAAACATGGCGGTTTCCGACTTTTTGTTCTCATCAATAGCCATTCCAGTCGGCTTAGCGGAGATGGCGGAGAGCTCCTGGCCTGACCATGGTACTGCAGGTTTGGTCTTGTGCAAGCTTCAGGGTTTTTGCACAAGCGTCTCCCTTTCTGTATCCGTACAGAGCATTTTTTGGATCGCCATTGATCGGCTTGTGGCTGTCGTATATCCAATGAAAGCCCACTCCATCTCCTCTAGATCTCGAAGCATTGCTATAGCTTCCACTTGGCTTCTGGCCATAGGAGTGAATTCAGTTGAGTTGTATTCGTATCAAGTTCTTGAAGTACAAAGGAAATTTATATGTATGGTTGGCTTGGACGATTCATTTGGCACTGACAGAATATATGTGATTTATTCAGTGGTATATACTGTCGTATTCCAGATTACGCCATTCATCGCATTGACATTTATATACAGCGTTATTGCGATGACTCTAAGGAAACAAGAAAAACGCCTTCACAACGAAGGGAATAAGGGAACTAGGTCGAACGTGCGTCGGCTTAGAAGACAGCAAGCAATCAAGATGTCCTTTTTTATTATTGCAGCGTTTTACATCTGTTCTCTTCCACTGCTTGTTTCGGCGATCATTTGGGAATTTCATATTTCAGTATCTTGCTCATTTGGAACGACACTTTGGCGAATCTCTGAGATCACGGTTTGCATATCTACCGTGGCGAACCCTTTTATTTGCTTGACTTTTGTTGGAAGTTATCGGGAGGGCTTAAAAAATATTTTAAGGGTACCTTGGAGGGGGCGGTTAAGAGCAAACAACGTGGAGATCAATGTCGACGGAGGAATAACGCTTCTTCAGGTAACAGTAATTTCGAAGGAAAACAAAATTTAGCATTTTTCTTAACATTCACATAGAACCATAACTTCTAACAACTCGAATTTTTACCACTCTATTAATAAAGATATAATTTCAAGCATGCATTAGAACAAACCGGATTTGATTAGTTTTTCGAACAGGCAGAAGTGGCTGACCTAGGGTGAGGGCCAAGGCCTGCATGGCGGAGAAGAATTCAGATTATTTTTCGAGTTTAGGGTGCCTCTTCTCTTTCATTGGGACTCTACCAGTGGACCATTCACTTACTTAAAGGTCTCAAATCCACAACTGGGCAGTTGAATGTGCTTTCTGCCTGAGTTACTGTACACAGGGAACTGACTCAGAGTAACTCAAAATCTGAAATCGTAGCTTGATAATCTACTTGCTTTTAAGGCTATAGGTAAACGATGGTTAGAAAGTACGGGCGAACACGTGCGTTTACCTTAGAGATGAGATTGATGACAGACGTTTTCATAATTGTCTACGTGAATCAAAGAAAGCCCTTTTGGTTCCAGTGTCAACAAAAGGAATCGCGGCGGATCTTGAACGTGGAAAATGAATTGAACAACATGGTAAACAAAATCAACGATTTCATTTACAGTTGCTGAGATACAATTTGGCTGCGAATGGTTAGGAGCCAGGAGAGACGACTGTATTCGCAGGCAAAGATACAATGAAAACAGACAGAACAGATGATGCTTGACATAACAACGCTCAACCTCTGGTGAAATGTATACAGTCATGGCTGAACGAGGTCTTGTTATTAAACCGGTTTATCAATCCTATGTCCAAAGGCCGTTGCCGGGAGATGCAATTGAAAATAATGAAAAATCTTGGATTACCACTGGAGTTTAAAGCTTATTGAAGCTTTCATGACCAGATGTCAATCGACGCAACATGTTTGGAAACAGAATAAACCTAATTTACAGGTATTTCTAGACTTTGCTAACACTCCTATCTTACTGGCGAAGACTCGTCCCACACTTGGGGAAACTTGAAATGGCGTAGCAACTCAACCATGGTGGCAAGAGTTTCTTTTTACCATAAAATTTCAACACCATGCTAGCCGTTTACTTCTTTTTGTTGACTTTTTGAGGTACGAGTTTAGTCAGTAACTGGATGTATCTTTTTCTGATGAATAAACCAGCGTCGTGTTTACCTTCTCGAACAATCCGAATTAAACTCACCACGGCTACAGCTGATTATTGCGTTACGCAAAATACGCAAATGATACACAAGACAAACAGACCCTCTGTTTTACACAAAAACTCTAACACGTCTTTTCACTTAATAGCTCTACTAGTTCAATCCATCGAATTAATTCCAACCAGAGTCTAAGCAAAGTTTACGTTACAAAAGGTTACACTCAGTAATTCATCGAGTTTTCAAGTTTCTTTTTTCTTTTTTTTTACCCAAGGAATTTGGTGAGCACTGAGCAACATATCACAATTCTCTAGTCTTGTTTCAATTTAGTTACCGCGGGGACTGCGGAACACCAGAGCATAGGGACTTTTGCGTGTTGATTACTGATAATCCATACGCTTCTTTGTAAAATGACGTCATCAGTGACAATAAATGTGTTGAAGAAATACTTTATTGCGTACTCTTCTGTGCTAGCTGATTTCTTGTTTGTCGCGACTTTTGTCATCAAAATAAAAAAGAAATGCCCAAAGTCAGACAAACATTTCAAGTTAGTCTCACTGAAGTCAATTGTGAGTGTTCTATTTATGCAGTTCGAACCGTCTCTAACCCCCACCACCCCTACGCTATTTCTAATGGCATTACAACCGACAATGTGTTATTACAATTCAGGACAGCTACTAGTCTCATTACAAATTACAACAACTTTTATTACAATTGACGCTAGCTTGGTTATTACGTTTCTCGACAACTATTATTGCAATTTACAGCAGATATTACAATTTACGACGATTATTACAATTTACGACAGGTATTACAATTCACGACAGAACACTCGTGGCTTCACTCATTGCTTTCCTTGGATTCGAAGAAGGTGTTCGGTTTCGGATCAGTCGCAGTTTAGTCAAAGCTACGATAGCTCTTGTTTTAGACATTTAAGTACGTCCATTTTAGTCAGAGTTTAGCTTGCCTACATCAAATGCCCTGAGGAAATAGGAAAAATATCCCTAGACTACCGCTCGGCTCGCTTCGCTTGCCGATTTTTGTGTCTAGCGCCCATGTGCCAGTAGCCACTTTTGCCATTGGTTAGTTTTCCGAAAGTAAGTAAAGGTACTGAAAAACGGGCAACAAAAAACGTACAACTTGTTTTGTAGCATTGCTGTAAAACGAGTTGAATAGCGATGTTGCGCGTTTTACCACCAACGTTCAAACCTGTTAATAAACTGATTTGTTGCAAGAGAGGTTTTATGTCTTTGGTAAAACGCGCAACATCGCTGTACAATGTTTTGCGGCAATGTTGCAAGACAAGTTGCACGTTTTTTGTTGTCCGTTTTTCCGAACCTTAAATAACAATAGAATATGCTTCGGAGCCAATCAGCATACAGAACTTAGTTTTCCGAAAGTAGATAAGTATACGAGTATACGATGTGCTTCGGACTCAATCAGCATACAAAGATAACAATTTTTTGGTAATCTTTTGTCGATGGTCCTCTATGAAAAGCGAAATGCTCGGCTGCCTTGTGGTCTGCTTTGATAGCTAGTGCAACCGAATAAAAAGGCAATGAAATACATCATTTCTCAAGAAGCGTACCGCGTATCTTCACTTCTCATCTTCAAAATAAGTCCAGAAACCAAGGTATTAGTATAACATTTGCCAATGTGTTGATCATTCTTTATCATTTCACGAAGTCGCCCGCATTGAAAGGAAAGGTTAAAAATGCGTGTGTTACGAATTATTGAGAAACGTTGCAATGCGTTTTAAAGCATTCAAATGGAATTAAAAATGCGTCTTACTCTTTAGCAGTAGTCACACGCGCTTCTCGAGCACCTTTTTTTGTTTCTAGCACGCCCATTTTTTTGCTCCTTTTCCTCCCAATGCTGAGCCTGGTTCCCAGTTCCCAGGCTACCTTTCTCGAAAAACTGGAAAAAAATGAAATGAAATTAAAAAATAAAACTCGTTCCAGTCCTTTCCGAGTTTATCAAAATGGCGGACGAATCGAGTCCAATTTGGTTCGATGTTGGCATGAACTTGAATGCAGTTTCTTTTGTGATAGGCTTGCAATGGTTCACGAAGGGACGAACAACACGTAGTCCACACTCCAAGCAACTCATTCAAATTTGTTCACGAAAACTAATCTGTTACGAGGCTGTGGATGTCAAAGAGAATGCGCATGCTTTGAAGAACATTTTCACAGAAGTGCATTTTCCAGGTATTCATGTAAATGTCTCAATACATTTAATCTTCTGGGAAAACTTTAGATTAAAAGGAAAAATGTGAAAAAAGGAGTAATTGTCGGCAAGGGTATATTGAACGAGGTTTAGCTTAGTGATTAGGGTTAGTTGTCAATCATATTAAACTGCCATGAAACGAAATATTAAACAACATGGATCGAAATCAACCAATTACAACCTTCATTTAAGGCATTTTGAACCTGCTGAAGAAAGCCTGTGTTTCCTTAGAGGTCCATTAAAGTGAATGATGGTGTTGAAAAGCGTAAATGTTAGTCATATTTTTTACAGCCATGTTATGTCTCAGTCAATTCTAAGTGTGCTCATTCGGCAGGAGTGTTTTGCAGAACGCTGAATGCAGAATGCCAAATGACTCTGAAGTTTAATGATTAGGGTTAGGAAACTGTGTGAATCAAGTTTCACGTCAATTTTTCTGGTATAATGACTCTAAATGGAACCTGATGCACTCAGTTTCCTAACTCTAATCACTAAACTTCAGAATCATTTGGTGTTCCGCATTCTGCATTCAGCATTCTGCATTCTGTGTTCTGCAAAATACCCCTCCCAGTGCTCATTTGTCATTTTTGTCATTTTGTTTTGGAAAAGCTACAAATGCCCTGAGGTGGGGCCTGGCGTTCCGAAGAAAACCCAACAGTGGGGCTTAAAAATATGGTGCAACGACACCAAAATTGCATTTTTCATGGGAAATCTGTAATAATCTGATCAAACTTGTGTGTGAAGCACCCTATGCAAATGGGTCCTAACCACTAGTTACCAGGTACCAGGTTAAGCTATTTTTCGCAGAAAAAGGAAACCTAAAATTTCTAAAAAGTCTCCCATTGATTGACAATACACAAAAGATACATTGATTGTTTTTCCTCTGTGTGGGAACTGATCATTATGGTGGGAAGCAATAAGGGTGCAAACATGTATTTTATTGTAGCTGCTTTCAGTTTGACCCCAAGATCATGCACTGGTCTGACAGTATGCAGAGGGAGTGAGATTCAAATGAGGCTGCAGTTTCAATATTGTCCTAGTGAACATCAAGAGGAGGTTTTGAAGAGACTTGGTTTAGGGAAAGAGTTGCAGGAATTAAGGAACAGATTTCACAGTATTTGTTGCCGTATGTGCGGATCCTTTGTGCTGTCTCCTGACAGGTAGGTTACATTCATGTGAAGTTATAAAGTTGACAAGTTGTCAGCTTCTACATTCACAAGATTTAGATCAGTTTTTACTGGCTTGGAAGCAGTGTAAAGTTGCTTTACATAGGAGAATCACTCATTTTCAGTACCGGCAGGCCATCTGATAGAGTGCTATAAAAAATCAGAAATTGTGTGATATTTCCAGGGTAGATTGTGCGATAAGATAGGACTATTATGCGGTAAATTATGTGATTTTTTCAGGGTTAATTTACATTGTTTTACCAGGTTTCAAAGGAACCACTTTAAAAAATCACTTTAATGTTGTTTAACAGGCAATCTGAATGTAAAGGAATAATAAAACATCCATTTTAAAACAAAACAGTTAAATTTGTCCGATTATTTTGACACGGAAAAGAAAAAGGGCACTTGTTTAATATTACATGATTCCTTTACACGGCTGACCACTCTGCTTGTCTCTAACATCAAAATGGCTGCCGTGATACCGTGATCGAAGGTTTCAGATGTCTTGCAAGGCTTTGTTTAGTGGTAAATCACTTAAATAACCTTAAGATTAGGAAAATGTTTCATTAAAGTTAGAATTTATTGTTTACTTTACTTGAATTTAGCATATTTTTACGAATTATGCGATTTTCCCCAAATTGTGTGATCAGATGTGATTTGAGGTCAATTGTGTGAAATCGCACCATCGCGTAATATCAGATGGCCTGGTAAATCCTCTATTAAGCCCCCCTCCCTCTAATAAGCCCCCCTTTTCAGGGAAGAAAATTAATAAGCCCCCCTCTCTATTTCCCCCCCCCCCCTCCCATCCGCTAATTACTCTTCACTAATAAATGATAGACTGTATTAATCAATCACGACTGTAAAACTTTGTGTGGACTGATCTGGGATGGTTTATTTACCAACTGGAAGTTTGGATTTGACCTTGATCCTCGGCTGCATGACCTAAAACGTCTTGTACTTGAGCTTTTTCACTTCGTATTCTAGTTCTTTATGGAGAACTGATACCATCATCTTTTCTAAATTAAATAAGCCGCCCATCTCTATTAAGCTCCTCCTTAAATGGGCTTGAAATAAATAAGCCCTCCGGGGGGCTTAATAGAGGATTTTCAGTATTGTTGTGAGTAATTACATGTACAGTAGCTCTGGTTACAACCAGGGTTATTAATTATCCTGAACTGTGGCTCTTCAATGGAAATCTCTTGTAGGTGACCACTCCTGTAACCTCAAAGTTGAATGATATTTTTTTTCATTGAAGCAAGTAAATAACAAAGCAATAATTAGCATTTTTGCTCCTGGTACTCTGGCTAAAGTTAAAAAATTCACAGGAAATTTCTGATCAGCCTCCTTTTTGTAAAATCCTAAGATTTCAATAGTACCATATAAAAGCCCTGCTATAAAAGAGGTTTCATTTTAAATTGTAGCATCATAGGATTTTGTACAGTTCAAAAGTAGCATGAGTGTCAAAAATCATTTAACTTGTCCACCTGACCACAACTTGGTCTGGTAGTGATAATAACTGCTGACAAACATTAGACACTAATAAACAATGATTATTATTATTTTTATTTGTTTAAAACTAGTTTTGTAAATGTCACATTAATACAGCAACCGTCTTCTGCAAACCTCATTAACAACGCTATTCTTGTTATTTGGTCAGCACCGTTTTGCAGTGTCATGGTTTTATTAAATAATTGAGTTTAATAATGATCGTGAACTAGAACAGTCTTAACATAAACATTGTTATGGGGTCCTTTTCTTCTTTGGACGAGGTTTATTTTAATCCTCTTTCTTTGGAAATGTTTTTAATACACCCATTATTTCTTCAAGAAAGTTCAAAAGAGTTCTGGAATTACCATCAGAAAATTGGCTGGAGCTTGCTCAAGACTGGTGTTGCCATGGTAGCAGTCATCTGACATCTGCGACAGGAGTGCTTGAACCAAGTGAAGATGACTGCTTTGTAGGTGCATACTACATCAAGGTCCATCCTGCAACTGCAGTGGCAAACAATTTAAGGATTTGTTCTGTATGTTGAGAATTATTGTATTTGCTTAAAGAGGGTGCATGCAATGTGAATGTCTAAACACCTGGTAACAGTGGAACCTTGATATAATGAAGGCTGCCAAAGGAATGGCGGAATACGTTTGCTATAACAAGTTTTTGTTATACCAAGATCCTTTTCCATAAATTCTAGTCTTATTGTGGTGAAGAATATTCAAGAATAATTATTCCACAAGTGCATGTCGGATATGAGATGGTAGATAGCCAATGAGGCACGTAGTGCCGGGTTGGCTATAATCATCTCATATCCAACAAGCGCGAGTGGAATAATTATTGTTTTATTAAAAACACCCACAAAATATCAAGAATTATTCCCGAATTTATTTGTAAAAACAACTGATGTTCAGCTTGTTTTAAATTTTTGAGCAGATGCACACAGTTACCTTATTTTGAGAGCATGGTATAATGGCTCATATACCATGATGGCTAAGCCAGTCAGAGCTCTAGAATTGTATTATCCAATGATTTAGTTTTTGATAACATTTTTTATACCAAGGAATTCATTTTTGCCCCATGTAAGGAAATCCGGGAAATTTTTGCTTGTGGTACCTGGAATCCTGGGCTTTGGAATCCAGAAAACAGCTCAAGGAAAGCGGAACCCCACTAACAATTTGAATCTGGAATCTAAGTTCAACGGACAAAGAGTAAGAAATCCAGGGGTCAATCAAATAAAACTATTAATATTATTAAAACTATTAAGTCTCATTTAGAAGTGTAACTGTTGTTTTTACAGACTAAAAACATGGACGTCACTTATAAAAGTTTCATTTAATTGGCTTCAGTAAACGACACTTGCTCTTCATCGAAGTTTCTTAGAAAAAATTAGTTTATTTTGATATCGTTGTTCTTGTCCTTCATTTTTTTTGGTGTCAGGGGGTGGACTCTTATTCAAGGCTGGGTGCTTACTGTATTTACCTTTCCTGCCTATAGTGTGGGTGGTTATTCAAGATGAGCGCTCATTAGAGGTTGGCGCTTGGGCGAATAAATACGATATTCTTTATTTAGTAACTTGCATTTTGTTTCCTGAGGTATTTTACTTATTTATCAGTCGTTCAACAATTATGTTAAGTAATATAAAAATTGGTTTATACGATGAAAATTTGAATAAAATGCATTGTCTTGTACTGCACAGGGAGAGGATGAGGATGAGATCAAATGTTGTAGATGTAATTCTTCAATAGGAATAGTCATCAGAGAGGATTCCAATCTTCATTCACTTGACTTAAAAGATGTGTCAAGCTTATATCTCCATAAACACAGGATCAGCTTGAGACACAGTGACTTGTTTAGGTAAAGTTTGTTTCTTAAACTAGTTCTCTTTTGAATTTTTTGTCGCTTCGTGATGTTTATTGGTGTTTGTTTTTTTTTTTACTTTAGATCCTATCGCACTGAAACATTTATTTCTAGTTGTTTAATTTCCAAGTCCAAAGGTGCGGTGAACTTCAGGTTTCTTGTTCAAGAATCCTTGCGCAGTGGAGAGAAAATAACGCATGCATGTGTAAGTCATTGTTTGGGTTACTGGTGAAAAAACTCTTCGATTTTGCATCCATAATTCCTCCATCAAATTCATTTTGTTCGAGAACATCAAATACCTCGAGGTTTTGTTGTATTTTAACTTCATTCTCCTAGGTGTTTTATGTAGCCTGCGAAAACAGACGACATTTCGCGACGCCACCACTGGTTTCCCCGTGAAATGACGTCTGAGAAACGAGTGCAGAAATTCCATACTGATGACGTGTTACTGCCCAGATCTTGGTAGTGCTTCTGATTGGTTTGATGCAAATCTCCCACGCGGCACAACCAATCACAAGTACTAACCAGATCTAGGTTGTGACACGTCATCAGTATGGAATTTCTGCGCTTGTGCCTCAGACGTCATTTCGGTGGAAAACCAGTGCGTCGGCTGTTTTCTCAGGCCTGTGTATTAGGGCGAGACACTGTCGTGTTTGATGTAATATATCAAGAATGAGACGTAGTGTTTCATCACCAGATGAAATACTGAGAAGAGAGTTGAAAATACGACACGCAGCAGTGTATTTTGGACGAACTTCGAGGTGTTTCATCTGGTGATGAAACATGCGTCTCATGGTTGATATTACTTCTCAAAAAAAATAATTTTAGAGGGAGGATGCAAAAATGAGCAGTTTTTCATCTGATTTCCAAACACTCATTAAACATTAATTTCCTTTGTATTATCCTTATGAATTATTGATGAGTTTGAGAAATTTGGTTCCAATTTGTGAATTTACCGAGGCACCTCTATCATCCGGACCAAGTTTCTTGGTGTAAATAACTGTGGAAATGGCGGTTCGGCCAAAACAGGCAAATCAAAGGAAGTAAAAGCGGTGCCCTTACTAAGTACCTTGTGTTGAAGAAAAGTCAGTAGTAAGCTTTTTTTTCACTCTTGCCTTAATTTTGCCACCATTGTCGTTTACCACGTGGATGACTTTCTTCTGGTCAAATTAATCAATTGTACTAAAAATTTAGTTTTAATTTTATTTCAGCTTTGGCTTTTTAATGCAGACACCGCGGTGGTAACCAATATAGAACCTTGTGCGGACTTCCATTGCGAAAAAAGACCCAGTGAAGGTGGAGCATACTCGATCACAAATAAAGGTAGGAATTGTTGATTAAACCTGTACATGTATCGATCCGCAGTAAAGTTTATAGAGTCAAAGACTTTAAGCCAGTTGGTTCAGTACTTATATTGCCTAGAGAGAATTAAAAAGACAAATTATTTGCATTACAAGAAGTTCGCACCGTTGAAACGGGTACACTTCTGCAAATCTCTGGTCCGCTTATGCCTGTTTCTACTCTTCACAGTTCCCCCAGGCGTATTTCGTTCGTTGTTCCAATTTTGCATATCTCTCTTGTGAATTGCTGATTGTTGTAATATATTGTATTTCTGAGTTTATTCCCTGGTTGTGATTGGCTAAAACATTCGCGCCATTTTCCGCCGGTTTTGAAGTTGAGGTTAGTTTCCTGTTTTCGTATGTTTTATCTCCTTTATAATCAAGACAAGTGCAGTTATTCCAGTTTTCTGATTTATATTCCTGACCTAAGGATTTCCGAAGTAATAGTAGATTGTGCTATAATCATTTCATGTAATACCATATTTTGTCATTCTCCTAGCAAAATACATGCGCGTAGTGAAGATTCTCTACAAGGCAAGAACACTAGCTGATAAGAGCAGTTGGTACGTATATTTATTTCATACATGCACATTGAAATATATTCACGGTAGAGTTAAGTTGTAAACTTTCACATGCAAATTTATTTAACCAATCAGATGCGCGAACGATGTTTTTTTCTTCACTTGAAGTGCGTTTAAATAGTTCGTCAAAATGCACAAGTTTGCGTCAAGTTTCCCGCGAACTTTGAAATTCTTTATCACGAGCACGTTCGTACAATGAAAACCAACCTGTTTGTGTACTGTAGGGGTTAATGTGGAGCTTAAGCAACCGCCACCACGACGGCAACGACAACGTCAAATTAAACAATTGGTTTTATGAGCAAAACAGCATCTCTGCATCTAAATCACGCTGTCAAGTATACGTGTATTTCCTTGACGTCCACTGAACGGCTACAACGTGGAACTTCCTTATGCAACGTTTTATAGAGGACGTGAACGCACGAAAACCTTTCCTGTTTAACTGGATACAGTCTTTAAGAATTGACAAGTAGAGCGGGTCTAAATAGTGGCGATTAAGTTTGAAAGAACACAGATTCATTTTTTTAGCGGCGTTTTCACTGCTGTCGTCGTGGCTGCTTAAAGGTGATATTAAACGAGACGATTCGCAACGACAATTTTTCCGCAACACAGCGTTGCAACATTGCTGCGACATTGTTTTCGAATTGTGATCATTGTCTGCGGTACTACAAAAAAGTAATATTTTTGTTAAACTTGGTCGTTAGCACAACGTTGTCTTTTCTTTACTCGAACAGAGACGAGATTCAAGGTTACTCGATGTATACATACATCTATAAATGTACATACTTTTGCAATCCCTTCACGCAGTTTTTGTAGACCAAACCGGAATCTTTTTGTCCGGCCTATATACCGTATTTATTCGAATAAGCGCCCAACCTTGAATTAGCGCCCACCTCGAATAAGCGCCCATCCTAAAGGCAGAAAAAGTTAATAAGCGCCCAGCCTCGAATAAACGCCAACCCCTCCTCCTCCCAATGAAACTCAAATAAGCACCCGCCCCCACCCCACCCACTTGAGTGAATAAATTCTAATCAGAGACTTCCCCGAGGACGGGGGTTTCTTCAGAGTATTTTACAAAAACCTTGCTTTGATACTTCTTCGCGTTTTCTTCACAAAATACTCCATTAAATAATTAATATTCAAATAATTATCTTCATTACCTAGAACATTAAGGAATAGTGATTAAATTTTTTTTACGAAAATTAGATATGTTGAGAGTCAGCTTGTCGGACTCTCAACTTATTGCCAGTCTAAACCTATTGCTTTTTTGTCGCTTTCGTTTCCGTCGCCGGAATTGGAGCTCGAGGTTATTAGTCTGATGAGAAGTTGTTGTAGAAGAAAGACTGTGTATCCCAAACGAACATCTGGCCGTTGATTTTTATTTCCTTTAATATTCTGCAGGAAAGATGAAGTAGCTGCTTGGGAAGAAAATCCCTCTGTCGAAGTTCTTACGTTCGCAAAAGAGATTTGTTTCCATCTTATTCTGCTTCTATCACAGAGTACGAACACTATAGCGCCTTCTTTGAGAGAAATGAACGGGTTTAAGGTACGTAAAAGAAAATGTATTTGATTGATTATATCAGGTGCTGACTTAGCAACAGAACGGGAACGTCAGTTGACGACAGCGCGCGCAAATCAAACAACTGGCTTGACCAATGGCAGAGCAGCAAATTGGGCACCGGAAGTCGCGTTCAGTCCTTTCCGCGCGCTTTCCCGTCGTCGTCTGACGTTCTCGTTCTGTTGCTAAATCAGCCTATTAGGGACGACGCGACGGCAACTAGAACGTGCCTTGAAAAGTGAATTTGCGTTATTTCAATCTTCTTCCTACCCACATACTTTGCAAATGTAGGCGAGCCCCCCTGAAGTTGAATTCCCAGGCCTCATATCCAAGTTCAGGAAAAACTAAAATTTCGTTTCGTAGTCGTGCAAAAACGGCAAAGAAGTGTACAAAAAAACTTTGATGCTCGTGCGAAGTTGTTGTTTTGCTTATTCAACCTGTTTTTTTTTTTTTCTGGTTGCCGTCGCGTCGTTGTATCTTAAAACTCCGGAAAAACGGGAAACAAAGACGTGCAACGTGTTTTGCAACATTGCTGCAAAACGAGTTGAAAAGCGATGTGGCGCGTTTTACCACCATCTTTCAAACCTGTTAACAACCCTTTGTTGCAAGACAGGTTTGATGTGGGTGGTAAACGAGCAATAGCGCTATTCAACTCGTTTTTTTTCATTTTACCTTTCTGAATTAGGTTGGTTATTTGAGAACAATTGAGCCTTAGCCACGGATTTGGACAGCTTAGTGAGTCTCGTAACAGTTTCCAAAAAACCCGGATCGGTCAGCCGTTGCTGATTATGTTTTGAAAGGAAATGAAATGAGATGTGCGCCTCTATCACTGCTCCAGCTCGGCAACTGTACCTTTCGAGCATTGATAACAATGCCCAAAGTAAATCAGGGACCCCTTTACAGTGGAGTATTTGTCTCATGGACCTAGAGGAGATTCCAGCGCGACAGATGGAGGTGACAGTTTAGCTTGTACCGGCGAGTCACAAAGACGAGAGAAAAAACGTTGACTGATAAAAAGTTTTGAAAATGGCTCGCGGCAACTGCGCAACACAATGCAAGGCAATCCATGACGAAAGCTGGGAATTGCGCAATTTTACGCATTATCCTGTAAAAAGGAAATGTCTTGCTTTTCATAAAACAAGTCACTGAAAGTTTTTGAGAGGATATCTGTAAACTCTTATTTCTTGATGGCAAAGTTAGAAATAACGTTCATCTGAAAAGACCCCTTACGTTTTTTCGTTTTGCAAGGAGACGATCAAACTTGTATCTTTACATTGATCGAAATACGATCTTAACCTTTTTTAACTGGATTAATTCTTGAAAACTGATACACAGTAATTAATCCTCCCAACATTGTTGTCCCTACAGTGTTAGGAGTTGTTGCGTCCGTTTGCAAGTGGCTAAAAGTTTGACCGGTTTCAAACTTTGCGCTCTTTGGGAGTTGTTGCGCAGTTTGAAACCGATCAAACGTATGACCCAGCAATTCCCAATTGCAACATTTCTTTTGTTCCGTGATCGTCGAAACGTTGCGCAATAATGTTGGATCCGTTAGCACAGCTCTTCCAATATTTTTGGAGCCACGCACGCACATAACACGTGGTCTCCAAAGTCTTAAATGTTGTACCCTTCCCACAATGCACTGCAGGTCCCAACATTATTGGAAGTTTTCAAATCTGTTTGCATACCACTTTCAACACGGACGCAACAACTCCCAATATTGTTGGCCCAACAACGTTCTTTTGCACGTAGCTTCAGAAGCGAGGGAACTTCTGGCACAACAGGCCGCGCGCCAACCGCCTGTGCTTATTCTTGTTCCTTAAAAGTTGATATTAATACAGTTTTTCAATATACTGTTGCTGCTGTCGGAAGCATATAAGCTAGTCGGAATACCAGACATTGGTAAATATCATGATCGTAGCGTGCTGTATCATAAATAAATATACGTTATTGAGCTAGTATGACGTCAAAATGGCTGGATATTCGCAAAGCCAAGTATTTTTTCTTTGCGTTTTTATTGTCGAGGTCAACACTTGCAGATAACAATGATGTAGTAAAAATTAGCTCGCACCAATTTAATTTATTTCCATCTCTTGTTTGTGTTTCGTAAAATATTTCTGATGAATTGGAACTGTCAGTAAATGAATTTCAACGTAAGCTTTCCAGTTTGGCTATAGTAAGCACTTAAACGCTCCACTGCTTCAAACGTCACTTCACGATCACTCAATTTTTCTTGCCATAAACGTCTTGAAGAAGTTGAATTATCTCGACTAGAACTTACATTTGGAGCTAGATTTTGACATTAATATTATACATCGTTTAGTCTATCTAGACTGTTCACAGTCCTATTTTTCCGTTGGATCGTCGATCGAGGTTTGCGTTACGGGCAGCCATCTTGGATGCAATGCGGCGGGGGACCCTAACTCTAACCCTACCCCTAACCTCTGTTTTTCTTGCCTCCCCCTCCCCCCCCCCCCACCGCTATAAACCCCACGTCCGCCCCTCCGTACATAAGAAACCAAGATAGCGGCCCGTACCAAAAAAGCTCGTTCCTGACGATCTTACGAGAAAGTAGGGGTCTTTAAATAGTCCATAGTCTATCATGCTCACACTGGCAATGGAAGAGATAGTGCTTCGATATTTCCTAATCATAGATCATGGATCTCAGAAAATCTCTGAGGTCAGAGTACCTCCACAGGTAAAACACTGGATTTATGCATGAGTTCAACAGAGAGAAAGTTGTGGACCACAGATACAAAGAGTTATATCCGCTGCCGAGAGACTGATAGAAAATGGTGACCGTCAATTTTGGAAGGACACAAATTACGAGAATTACAAGGACAATAAACATATCCATTGCAACTTTCTTCTCGCGTTTTAGTACTACTGACAACTGCTGCTGTGGAGCCGAAACAGCATCTGCTACTTGACGATTGTGTTTTCGAATGGCTAATAACATCGCAATGTGGTTGCCTATTAACAAAGTATTAACTAATATACCAAGTGCTAACATAATAAAGAAACCCAGATTTGAAGGTAAAATTAACATGCAAAGTAACGTTAAAGCGGTCCAGCCCAATGAAGTGGTGACAGCAATCTTTGTGACACCTGAAAATGTGGAGATAAATTCTTTAAACATTGTGTCTTAAAACATAAAGCTTTAATGCTGTTCCCTAAGATTCTAAGTTTTTCTTTCTAGTTTTGACTGGTAAGATTGTTATCATT